CCTCGAGGATCTTCAACAATGCTGAAGTTGGAGCTATCAGATTCCCAGATATACTGTTTATCGTCATTATGCTTGCTGGTAACAACGACGACATTCGCAACCAAATATGCGGAATAAAAGCCCACACCAAATTGACCGATCATATCGTTCATATCCTGAGAATTAGTGACGTCCTGCATTTTTCCCAGAAACTCTGCTGTGCCAGATTTTGCGATAGTTCCAAGATTATTTACTAAATCTTGCTTTGTCATACCGATACCAGAATCCATTATATGCAATACTTTGTTCTCCTTGTCTGCTTTTATTCTGATAGCCAATTCCTTATTTGTGTCCAGGACACCTTTATCGGTGAGAGACAATAATCTAATTTTATCCAATGCATCAGATGCATTCGAGATCAATTCTCTGAGATAGATCTCTTTGTTACGGTAGAGAGAATTAATAATAAGTTTCATCATGCGATTAACTTCAGTCTGGAATGCAAACTTCTCAGCCTTATCTCTTAGTTCCTTTACTTGAGCAGTATTTAAACCATCGATCTTTATCGCTTCCTCTTCTCTTTGTACTGCTTCATGATCTGCAATATAAAATTTAAACATCAAATGTGTAATACAATAATTAATGTTCTTATAAATAATAAGGCAAAATTTCATATAAGATTAATTATTGATAAAGAAAATTACATTTATCAAATATAAATGAATAAATAAAAGGACTTATTTCACTCTTTTTTAAACAGAAGATTCAATATACTTAATAAATTCATAATAGATATGACAGATTATATATACAAATTCAATGTAAAAATTGAACAAATCATAATCATAAAAGAAATTCCAATTCTGTATGAAATAAACCTGCACTTTTCTAAACTATTAAAACATTTGAATAATTTCGATACACATCAACTTCAACGAACTCCTCCCACCTGTTACAACACTACCAACTTTTATTTTAAAAATTATAGAATAATTATAAACAAAACAATTTTCTATTCAATTAAACATCAAGATAACAACCTGTTCGCGATGCTTCACGGCTAGCTCCAAGATCATCCTCCACGGTACCGGCGTTCTCTTCGACCTCATCCTCAGCCCGGACGAATCCTAAAGAGCAAGCAAGTGCGTATAAAATAATCAAAGGCGCATTTCGTCTAAGATGAGAGAATAGATTCTTGCTTACCTGCCAGCAGGCATAATCCTGCGATCAATAGATAGAGTTTCCTCATCGTCGCCGCGTCGTGAAAGACCGTGAACGAGAAAGAAATCACTAATGAATTCGCACGCGGCCGCCACGACACTCCGCTGTTTTTTCACTGACTGTCACGGAACAGTCGTGACGACGATGCGTTATACGCGACGACACGGGGCGGCGAACCAATCGCGTCGAACCACGCAGCACGTGCCGGCCAATGACGAGCGCACCCGACAGCAGCCCGTACAAATGGCGTCGCGCTATTGGCCATACACATGGCTATCATCTTATTCTAGAAGATTCACTCGCGGTTGAACACGCCACGCAGACTCCAACGACGTATGCAGAATTATTACAATCGGAAATTGAATTATCAGTAATCGAGCGGATGCTACGAAAAATACGATATATCGCCGGCTAAATTGGAAATTAAAATCGGACTATTTTCAGTTCCGGAGACTCCGACCGGTTACGTTAACGGCTTACCGGTAAATATTTGTCACATTGAGATGACTCGTGAATGTTCTACAAGAAATATGTTTATTTTGATTATTTCTGTTGCTCTTACAATTGTATGAGCGATACAACGATTTGTACTTAGGAATGTTAACGTTGGGAATATCTATAATTGATTTCTATCGATGTAAATTGTTGATAAAGAATGGTGGAATAGTTTACTAACTTCGCTAAAATGGTTCGCTTGATAAAACAGAAAGTTTCCTTATCAGTAATTAATAAACAAAAAATGCAAACTATTTTTCTGAGTGTCGATATATAATTGCGATTGATAAAACAGATTTTCACCTCTTTTTATTAATCTCCTTCGAAATCAATAATTTTTTTTACTTTGAACTATACTGATCGACATATCTCATTAAGGAAACAGTCTCACCAATTAAATTTAAAAAATAGAGTATTTTTAGAAATTTTTTTTACAGAAAGCTGTTTCTGTATTCAAACGTTCTGAAGTTTTTACACATAAAAGAGATCCCAACAAATGAGAATGGATTGAAATGGATTTAGATTTTCAGAAATATTAATTCACGAATGTTAAAATGAATGCTTTTCAATCGTGAATGCATTTTTATTTATTTATAGGAATTGCATGGAGCGTATCTCTATGCCTTTCAATCTAAAATTAATATTAGTTTTTTTCTGTGCATTGTGAATACTGTTTAATTCAAAATTTTGAATAGGAAATACAGTTTTTCAATTCAATTGCATCCAATTGAATCTAATTGAATCCAATTGAAACCAATTAAATCCAAAAAAAATATTCGCTATTTAAAATACACATTCGGATAGAAAAAAATTTCAATCCATTTTAATCGCGCGCGATTAAATTTCTTTGCTGAGTACATATATAAACTATACCTAAGCAGAATATCAAGTCATTATGTCAAAATGACTTCAAAATGATCATTAAAAGTCATTTTTCAATCATTTCCGATTTATTTTAATGTCATTTTAACGTTATCGTGACTTGTTGTTCTGTTTGGGTAGCAATATTTATCGATTAGATACACATGGCGTGGCGAATTTAAACGTGCCTTATAATAATAATAAGTATACATTGTTAGGCAATTTGAATACGTTCAGTATTTCAGAATTACAATGGCTACGGTCAAAATCTCACTACAAATGCTTTGAAGCAATTTTTGATTAGTCAATTTGTAAAATTCTTTTTTCTAATTGGTGAACCAAACGCTTCAAAACATTTGTAGTGAGACTTTGACCACAACCAATGACATACAATTAAGGCGAAATTTTGTGAAAAATAGGATGAGATAAGAACTGGAGTTATATATTTAATAAATTGATATAATGATGTAATACTTGTACATAGTGACGAACGAAAATATTGACACAATTTTACAATGTTGTAAAATGGGCTGCGTCTTTGAAGAAAAAAAATAACAATAAAATATTAATTTTTATAGAATTTTTATAGAACTTTTATTTGATATTTTATATAATTATAAGAAATAGATTATTAATTAACAAAGTTATATAAATTATTGATATTATTAAAATTGATTGAAATTATTGATATATAGTAAGTAGTTCTATTTCTCTTTCATGTTTTTCTTCTTTTACTTTTGCATGTCTTTCTTATTCTTAAGACTTAGCTTATTTTATATTCTCAAATGTTTGAAAGTGACAAAATACATGTCTTAAATATGTAATGATGTCAAATACGTAATGATTTTGAAATTAAAAAAAAAACGCCAAAATAAAGTCATCATTGTTGTTAAAATGTCAATTCATCAATTAATTCGTTGAGCAATTCTAAACATTATTGAAATTTTAAAACGTCTTTTAGGTGTCTTCAAGATATCGCAATTTCTTTACATATCTAATAAGAAAAGGGCTATCTTTCAGCTTGCAGTTAATAAAGTATTAAAACATTGCTCTTAAGAAATATCCGCTTGTCTATTCTTACTCAATTGTTAGGGCATATACATTGCTTTAATGATGAACTGTCGTTGTCAATTGACATTTGACCACGTGTGTTATTTTGTCATGCTATCCTACTGTTACATAGTTGTGAAATTAGTCTACGATCACGCAAAAATAAATAAATGTAAAAGTTCAAGAGCACAGAACGCTACACAATATTGCGTACACATCACTGTTAGCTAGCAACTATGTTACGCGATGTGCTCTAGATAGGGCTGATCAAATATGTACGATAATTTCTTTACTTCCCGGACTTTCTGTTGCGATGCTGTTTAGTTTCAGTTTATCGATGTAGTCTAAGTTTATCGAGACCAATCTAGGTTTGTCACGATATATTAGGTGTTGGAATTAATTCGTAGCGTTTTTTAATGAAAGAATGTTATTTATTTCACATGAGCATTAAAAAATACATTAATGAAAGTATTTCCCATCACTTGTAAAACGCTACGAATTAATTCCAACACCTAATATATTTTTGCACCTTAAAGTAAACAATTAGATGATAACCTAATTTCTCAGTTAATTTATAAAAAGGGAGAATTTTCTCAATTAATTTTGTATTAAAAGTCAAAAAAACTCTATTTGAAATATTTTTTAACGCAAGATATTTTTGAAGATGTTAAAAAAAAAATTTTAATTATAAAACTTTTAAAGGATGATTTACTTTTTTTCAATTTGAAATTGGACATAAAATATATATATATATATATATATATATATATCTTCTGGATTTTATTGGATAATAATATATTTAAAAAAAAAGTTGGATATTTAGGTAACGTCTTCAGTAAGTTTGCTCAATCCATGTTAAACAGTTTGTGTTTGAGTTTATCCTATCCAGTGAGACGCTCCTTGAATTTAAGAATCTAAATCGATCAAAACTTGCAGATTAATTATATCATTAATTTATATTAATATTCTGATAAGACAATCAGAAATTTTTTCTCAGTGATCTCACAAATAAATTTCTAAATATCTTTTTCAATGTAATAACTAAACTAATTAAATGGCAATTACGACGATCCGGGCGATTATTCTCTCAACCCTGAGCGTTCTCCGATTCTCCTTCGACCTCGCCCCTCGATGAAACAATCGGTATCGGCGATCGATCAATCAATTAGTCACGCTTGCAATCGGCGCGGTTTGCGAAGCGGATGCAATGGGCGTGTTGTGACAAATCGGTCGTTATGGATACATCGTGACGCTCTGAGGGCCCTGCAGTGTATAGTCTCTTCCCATACATCGTCCAGGGTGTGTACGTTATACGTAATGTGTGTCGTCGTTATTGTCATCGTCGTCGCGCTATAGGATGCTATAGGATTCGTGACGATCCGCCATGCGGAGGGACTTCACTCGCCTTCCGGTCCTCTTGGAAAAAACGTCGCCGTTATCTCCTCCGCTTCCTCTTGCGAAGAGTAAGCCAGGTTTCTTCCTTCTTCCACTGATCTCGTGAACCATCTGTCGTCTTCCACTGCACACGCGCGCGTCCTCCACTGCGTTCTCCAGCGTTCTCCATCTCGTTCACCGGAAGCCGCGAAGCTAAGGTGAGTGATGCTGCGCGAAATATGTGGAAAGAAGAACATTTGTAATCGTTTCTACCAATGCAGATTAATGTTAATCTCGATTCAACTTTTATCTTTTTCTGGTTCTTAGGAAGAGATAAAGAGTCAGACTCGTATTTATGGTCGATTTTTATATTTGAGGCTATTTCAGTCTTAAGCCAATCAACTGATTGTATTAACATCTTAAGACATTACTTAAGATTGCGGTCTTAAAATAAGAATGGACTATGAATCTTAATTGAATCGAGATTACAATTAAACTAAATTGATACACGTAGAAAATTTTTTCTTAGAGTTTATCTTGAAAATATGATAGTCGTGGGACAACATTATTTATTTCTAAGAATTTTGATGTAAATCTCCTTCATTTATTAATAAAACTATTAACAATAAAGTATAAAATAAGTTTGATTAATTTTACTGAAATGCATGGTAAAAATCTTTAAAATATTGTATTGTACTATCTACCATATTTCATATTAAATTTTAAAACAAAATTCTCTCCATGTAGAGATAGACAATCGGATATTCTTTCGAATATTCTTTTTGATATTCTATTCATCGCAGTTTCTCGTGAATTATCCGCATGAATAATTTTTCTACAAGTGTGTAATAATTGTTACGTTACAAAAAATATCGGAATAATGAGACTAACATTATTGCAAAAAGGATAATATTTTTTATTAACAAAAGAGAAAAATAGGATGTGCTTAACTATAATTTTTCCGCGCTATCTGTTACATCTATTTCAAATTACTTTAAATCATAGTGAATCATAGGTGAATCAATACGTAAGTGGGTGTAATAATGTAAATAAATATAATAAAATTTATTCTATTCAGCATTTACATAAAGAAAGAAACTTGGTTTACAAACTTGGTTTTTATTTTATTCATTCATCCATATCTTTCTCATATATATATTCCTATTTTAATTGCATTTCCTGTCTCTCTTTCTAATTATTCTTTTATCTATATTTTAAATATATTTTCATAATTAACATGAAGGTATTGTTATCTTTATGCAGTTGTCGATAATATGTCGAAAACAGTATTTCTTAAATAATGTTATATGGAATATGAAAAAAAAGTATTGTTTTAAGCCTTCCTTGAAGTAATATATATAAATCTTTCGAATATTTTTAAATATACTTTTATATTATATTTAAAACTTTAGTAGGAAGTTATTTACATTCATGTCACTCATGTCGAACCGAAAAAGAAGTTTCATGAAATAATTAAAGACTTTTAACGAACGATTGCTTCCACACATGGCGGTCGATGACAGGAAACGTGAATGTCGATGTTGCAATGTAGAAAACTATTATTCGTAAAGTGACAAGTTAGCAACAAGAAGTTAATCAATAACCCACTTTTTATCTGCCTTTGTGCGCATGATAGTAAAAAACCTTATCACTATACATCTCACTACATGTGCAAAATTGCATTTCTGTCAAGATAAGTAGATTAGATATGCACGCGTTCAATGTTCCTTACCGACTTTTAATACAATTAGCAATCAAATTGGGATATGAAAAAATATTTAATCATATTATTAAATCATAATCAAGATTTTATAATCCTAAATTATAATCAAGAATTTATAATCCTAAAATAAAATCGTTCTTGATTCTATATTATATGAGCAAAGTGGAACTTAAAGCAAAATATTTATCTCGGTGATGGAATTTCATAATCCTAAAGTTTATTGCATTAACTATTTAAAACATATTAATTAAATACATTAAATACATTAATTATATTTGTAAAATTCAAGTCTAAATCTAACTTTTTGACTTGCTTTTTTTGCTAATAATAAATTCCTATTCCATTTTTAATTTCTTTATCTTTTTTCTCTTCGATCTCTGACACTATTTTTATCAATGTGTTCTTTTTTTCATATCATTTCTACATATAAAAATTACTAAACTCACAGCAATAAGTCATAAAACACACTTTTCGAAAGTATAGAATTTTAAGCTTTAAAATCATTTTTTAAAATTTAAATTTTGTTCATTTTTAAGTTTTTTGAAATAAAAAAACAGATACGAATTTTTGCACTCATCCAATAATGGGTGCTTTCCATTTAATGACACAAATATTATTCGATCTTTCCTGGCGATACAAAGAATAACAAAAACAGAATAACATTTGTGTCACCAAATAAAATGCACCCAATATCTTTCGAAACGTTGCGCAGCATCACGTTTCTCTTGTAAATGTCCACTTTTGGAATGAACGCGCGTTCTTGTCCCTCTCTCTTATCTTTACGTGTTACACCTGACTCATATTTGTCACGTGAGCGAATGACGTTTCTCTTTCCAGCAATGTTCAGCTTGAGACCACAGAGTGCTACGACGCGACAGGAGATTGAAATGATTAACAAGGCCCAACGGGCTATAAACAACACCACGGATTCCATTGAGAAGTTACGTCTACTTTGCCTGGCTAGGGGTGCCAATGGCATTCTTGGTTTGGGTAGGTGAGTCTCGAAAGCATTCTTTAATATTTACGTTGTTATTAAATGCAATTACAATTAAAATCACAAAGCGGAACTCCTTATTATGTTTGTTCTTCTTATAACTAGATCGTATGTCCCAAATTATATTTTTTCAATCTTTTTCTCGTACAATTCACTACATTTTGATCGATATTTCTTTTTATATTTCTTTCTATTTACACTCTTCCTTTAATTTTAATTATTATTATTTGAAAAAAAATAGTGTCTTTTCAACTACATATTTCAGAAAAGACTTTTGTTTAAGACAAGATTTTGATTTTTTTGTATATTATAAAATATAAATATTTATTTCTACCAATGCATACTACCGCTCAAAAGTATTTGCCCAGTCTTCCTTAATTAAATAAAGAATTTCAATTAATCTTCTTTTTTGATCTTTTAAACTTCTAAATGTTAGGCTTATAATAATAATGTTTAGCTCAAAGTTTTACATTATACATTATATATTGCTTTCCTACATTCAAAAAAATGAATTTTCCAAAAAAGGGGAAAGGGAAAACCTAATTTTTAACGAAATTACTAATTAATTAAATAATATTGGAAATAATATTAGGGAAAAATTCTCAACATGATCAAATATCATTTTTATCATTTTTTTGTTTCATTATTCTTTATTTAAAAAAACACTTTAAATCATGATAATTTTGACGATTTTTTATTTAATTAAATTAATTCACTTTGATGATTGATAGGATAATATTTACATTCATTTATGTTAATAATTCAAGAATCAAGATAATTATTCAAAAATCAAGAAAAAATACTTTTAGTGATAGTATAAATTAATTATAATCTCAGCTGAGAGAGAGAGAGAGAAAGAACTTTATTTTTTATTTTTTTTTAAATTCTAAGAATAAAAAAATTTAGAGAATAAATTAAACCGATTAAATTAAGTCTACAATAGATATAATCCCAACAAAGGAACGACAAATTCTAAATAAAAAAATAAAACAGTAATTTTAACAAAATGGATTTTAATGATTACTAAAAAGAAAAATTGCAAAAAAAAATGCGAATACACAGAGATAGATAACACAGAGAATAAAATCCAAAATTGATGCAAACTTTAATGTTAATAATTTGCGGATAGTGATTCAACATCATGTGCATGCGATGATGAGTTTTTATGTTTTTATCACATATGAATCAGCCCGATATCACTGTCCTCGACTTTTATACTTACCTATATACTTACGTAACATGTTGAGACATTTAAATCTCGCGTTATCACATATTTCACCAGGGTATTCCGTCGTATGGACGATGATGGCAACAAGAAATTAAATTTTGAAGAATTTAAAACGGGTCTAGAGGAGACCGGATTGGAACTTTCTGAAGATGAAGTCGATGAAATCTTTAAGAAATTCGACACTGATGAGGACGCGAACATCAGCGTTGAAGAGTTTCTCGTTGGCATAAGAGTGAGTTCATGTATTTTTTAAATTCTGCTTTCTGCTTATTTTAGCGCTGTTTGACACAACATTTATGCGTCGTTCAAACGAAAAATCGTATTTAAAAATTGACGATAAGAATCTGAAAACGAGCATTAAAATATATAATGCGCTTAAATATGTAATCGTAGAAATTATTAATTAAATTGATGAGATCATTTTTCCCGTCAGCCACCGATGAATCAAAGTCGCAAAAATGTAGTAGATCAAGCGTTCCAAAAATTGGATAAGACCGGCGATGGGCGGATCACCGTCGACGATCTACGAGGAGTTTATAATGTGAAATGTCATCCGCGGTATATCAGCGGTGAGGAAAGCGAAGAAAGTATTTTAAACAAGTTTCTCTCGAATTTCGAGCATGGAGGCAACGTAGACGGTGTCGTAAGTAATTTTATGATATTTCTCACGTACTCTTCTAGTCTCTTATTTCACAAGGAAACGTGCTACATTGGAAAAGTGAGATGAAGAAACTATAACGTTACTAGCTGAAAGATCACGTTTGAAATAAATATTTTAGGTGTTCATATCCTCCAAGTGGATCAATAAATCCTTGAATTCAAAATCTAAATAGCTTATTGATGGTCCTCTTCAAACTCTACAACTTTTATGTAATAACTTATATTTAAAGATATCAAGAAATTATTTAAAAATCCGTTATGGCAAAGTTAATATAAATCAGTTATATAAATATAATGAAAAGAGACTCATAGATATATTTTTATCAATTTATAAAAGTTGTTTTAATAATAATAAGAAATTTCTCAATTTATTATAATGTTATATGAATATAATATACGTATTATTATCTCTATCTACAAACAATTTGCTTATCATTATGATCGTTCGCATTATTCTTAATTTGATACCATTATTATTTATTCACTTAATTTTTATCTTCCTTCTGTTGCAGGTAACGCAAGAGGAATTTATGAATTATTACAGCGTAATTAGCGCGAGTATAGACAATGATGCATATTTTGACTTAATGATGCGTAACGCTTATAAGCTATAACTTTCGATCTCTTGATTTGCATTTCACAGAGATAACATGCCGGTCCTACATCTGTCTATTCCACTGCGATCCACATCGACAACTATAAAAAGTCACTATTCTGCTAAACCAATGTATAAATCAATATCGTTGTCACATTACCATAAATGTTTGTCTTGTTAGGCCCGCACTTTCCGCTAATTGCAGTCTAGCAAAAATAATCTAGTAAAAGGTGTCATTATATTAATATTCAATATTAATCATACATGAGTCATCGGAGTGACAAATTAAAACCGGTATACATATACATATACGTAACTTCGTTAATTGTTTATTCACCGAAATATCCTCGGTCAGGAAGAAGAAAAAAAATCGCGTTACGATACAATTAATAACAATCGATACGTAATCGATTTTAGGGAGTTCCTTAAAAATTAATCTACAACTCTATGTATTTTTTTCCCTTGTTGAGTTTATTTGGTTATCAGACAACTGCAATAACTTTTCCATTTCTAAATTATTAAAAATTGTACGACGAGACAGAAGTGAGAAATACTTATACACAACTTTTTTTTCTTCTTCCTCGATATATTATTAGCTACTTGCGAAAAAAGTTGGTTATAGGGTCCAATTTTACAGCGCGAATTGTGGTGAACGCGTCCTGCGTATTCGTTTACGTTTTTTTTTTTAAATTCCTCTTTGTAATCTTATGTTTATTCTTCTGTGCATGAATATATATATATATATATATATATATATATATATATATATATATATACATGCGATTGTAAAACGGATTGACTTCTCCACCTAAATTTAATTTCCTACGATTTGATTCACGTACTTATTTAAAGTACTCTATTTATTTGATTCGTTGTAATCTACTTTTTATAAGGTGCAATAAAAATAAAATATAATAAACAACAAATATGAGTAGACTCATTAGCCTTTTATAATTAATTATGATGATTAAATAAGCCATTTTTTTCATTAGTAATTTAATGAGGAAATAAATTATTTTAAAAAGTAGTAGGACTGATAGAATCTCGAGTGACATATAAACAGAACTGTAATTAATAATACAGATAAGCTCAATGTTTTTCTGGGAATGAGAGCGATATTTCCGTAACTCGTTCCAATTATAATATACTCGAAATTAATACCGAAGCTAAATGTATGTAAAAAAAAACCCACATAATGTAAAAAATCAAAATTTTATAGGAACCCAAATAACATTTATGTTGCGTAAGATATCTAAAAGATGTCTTCAAATATTTTATATTAAAAAGATGTGAAAAAGACATTTTTTAGATATCCAAGATAACATGTATGTTATTTGGGAAAAAAATAAATATACGTATTACATATGATTATATATTTATTTTTTCTTAAATAACATACATGTTGCATAAGAAATCTAAAAAATGTTTTTTAGACTTAATCTTTTCGATATATAAAACATTTAAAGACATCTTTTAGATGTTTTATACATAAATGTTATCTGGATTCCTGCAAATAAAATTTTAATTTTTTTTTTTCTAATAAAATAAACTTTTCCATCGCTTTGTACGTGATACAATTTTTATTTAAATATGAACATCAAATATGCGAAATTATAAGATGACCTTTGCTACACACCCATTGTATCAATAAAATAAATTATCGAGACTTGATTTATGATCATTATGTAATCAACAATTAGCTGCTACAATAAAATACATCTGTAGAAACTACGCTTTAAAAAAATTTCCACATAATTGACGATGTATTTTTTCAAAACAAAAAATGTTAAAACTGAAAATATATTAATTTCAATTACTTGAAGTTACAATGATAAATAAAATAAATAGAAAAAATGTATTTACATTAATTACGTGGTAAAAAATCGGAAATTACAGTTTCAAGAAGTCTCTAAAGGTTAATATTGAATATTTAAGAGAATATAAAAATTGTAAAATTTATTAAATTAAATAAGCATACAATTAAATAATTTAATATCTAATATAAAAAAAAATTAAATATCTAATATAAATTAAATAATAACTATGCGTATGATAATGTATGAAATAAAAAAAAAGAAATGCATCGGCCGGGAATCGAACCCGGGCCGCCCGCGTGGCAGGCGAGCATTCTACCACTGAACCACCGATGCGATGTTAAGCTCTTTACTTACAAAGTATAAGAACTACTCGTGAACTACACGTAAACAATTTTTAAATCTATAAAATATATTTTTATAATATTACACTTTAATTTTATAACTTTTAGAATTTATGTTAGCGAATAAGTCACCCAAAATAATTTCTATTTGAAAAATTGCGTTTTAATATGTTTTTATAATCATAAAGATTAAAATACCAAGACTAGAAAAAGTATATTTTTATTCTAAAATTAAAATTTTATAATATAATTAATAAATTTCATAATGTAATAGTAATCTTCTTCGTTATATATAAAAAGATACAAAAATGTAATTGCCGATTAAAAAAAATCCTCCCCGGCGGGGAATCGAACCCCGGTCTCCCGCGTGACAGGCGGGGATACTGACCACTATACTACCGAGGACTTGGTAATAAAGTGTTTAAAATTTATAGTATATATGTTTCAAATAACGTTTATCTTATAATAAGTAAAATTTTTTTAATTTTATTAAATAATAATTTGCATAATTTACTTAAATACCATCTGATAAATTTAATGCATATGTGTTAAAAACGGACAAATAAAATATCAAAGTCCTCATAAAAGGAATATATTCTGTATGTATTTATAATATAAAAATTATTTAAAAACTAGACTATGTTATAAATTAAAGTTCTTTTCTATAAATCTTTTTTCATAGTGGTTAATTTATAAGTCAATTTTAATTTAACCAATTTTTAAAGACAAAGATTAATCTATTGGTGCTCACTATTCATCAAAACTTTCCGTGCCTCGTAATGCATACATATTTGCTTGATTCGTCATTAAATTATCACATATACGTAAAAAAAACTAACAACGCAGAATATTAACTTATAAAATGGACTTTGTTGTTCTTGTATGCACGCACTCGCTTTTGACTCACTTAAAGGAATTCTTACAGCAATTAAATTAGTGAGCAAACACATATCTAGAATTTCTTGCGCCCTTAGTAAGAAAATATATTGAAGCCACTCTCCCTCCAGAAAAAAATTTTTATTTGACGATAGCCGCAGTTTTCCTGTAATATAATATGGAGATTAAGAAAATAACATCTGATTTAATGTGGTTAAATATTGAAAGCATATTGAAAACATTACAAATATTTTATTCCCAACAAACGAGAATGGATTAAAATGGATTGAAATTTTTTTCTTTCCAAATGTGTATTTTATATATAAATAACGAATACTTTTTTTAGATTTAATTGGATTCAATTGGATTCAATTAGATTCAATTGGATGCAATTGGATTGAAAAACTGCATTTCCTATTCAAAATTTTGAATTGAACAGTATTCACAATGCACAGAAAAAGCTAATATTATTTTTAGATTGAAAGCATAGAGATTGAGAGCATTGGAGGCATAGAGATACGCTCCATGCATTTCTTATAAATGAATAAAAATGCATTCAGGATTGAAAAGCATTCATTTTTCGTGAATCAATATTTCTGAAAATTTGAATTCATTTCAATTAATTTCAATCTATTCTCGTTTGCTGAGACATACCTCTAAATACAAATTTCATTTCAATCCATTCTCGTTTGCTGGGACATACCTCTAAATACAAATTCCATTGTATCTATCCTATTGAAAAAAATTATGTTATAAAGTTACATAATGAAATCATGTAATTAAGACAAATAAATCACGTAAAGAATTGTTTCAAACCAGCATGTAATAATTTTTAAAAACGTTAAAAAAAATCACATGATATTAAAAATAATATCATCCGTTATGTGATTTTATAGTTACCGAAATTTTAAGAATTTAATGATAGAAATAGAAGAGAAAAAAATGTATCATCACGTAACTTTTCAAATTACGTCATTTTTTTAAAATTACGTAATGATTTGGAACGATTCGTTACATAATTTATTTGTCTTAATTACATGATTTCGTTATGCAATTTTGTGACGTGATGTTTTTTAGTAACGTACATTCTATGAGCTGCAACGAAGTCCAAAATCTCCGACATTTTACAGATCACAATTTTTGCTCTCCCTGGATTTGCGTCCTTAGCAGAGGCCAGTTTCGCCAATCCCTAACTACAGCCCTGAGACATGTATCCGTCGCGGTGGCAACGAAAATTTCGTACGTCATGTGATCGCAAGGTGGCGCGCACGTACATAAAATCGACGCACGCGCCAAGCACGATCAGTAGCAGAATAATCGTCGTGAAGGTTGGATTGTGTACTGTTTCTATCTTTTTCTTCCTTCTTCTGTCATTCATCGCTTCTCTCTCTCTCTCTGTTTATCGGTTTCCCTCTCCTTTTACCTTCTACCCTTTCTCTCCATTGTTACCAGATAATAGCGCTTGCTCATAATAAAGGATTGGTGACAATAAATGAGCTGGCCAGCCGCGGGAAGGTATATTGCTGTGTATTGTGTTGCCTGAGGAGAGTTAGTGATCCGTGTGCGTGCATGCGTGAACATATTTCACTGTGAGTGAATTCCTGTGGATACCTACCTTCGCGATCTATACCTCATCTTTCTCCGTAGAAGACTGTCATCTGCTGCCAAAATGAAGCACGTCGTATTCATTGTCGTAGCTGTATTTCTCGGTATGTTTGGACTGATTGTCATCTCCCTCATTTCTCAGATTCTTTGTTTCCCCGTCCGAATTCCACTTAGCAGGTATAATAATGATGTGTAATCTATTCAATCTTAGAATCCAAATATAGATAAGACATTTTTCCCAGGTCTCGTTGCTGTTGATTTATCTTTATTTAGACTAGTATCTACATACGCTCAATGAAGTACGGAATATTTGATATTTCTCACGTAATCTTGGAAAATCTGCGAAATAAAAATCCTTTTTTTCCAGATCCTCTGAAAATCTAACGAATCATTATTAAGTTGCTGAATTAATGTCATTGGAGTGTTTGTGGAACGAAAATTAGAATTAGATATTTGTCGACAGTTTTTAATAATGCAGAGATCTGTTTAGACAGTGAAGAAAGTCGCTTGAAATATAATTACTAATTGATGTATAAAAGCGGTAAACCCCCGAGAAAGTCATGATTATCTATCGGAAATAACAATGATAAGCGACACCCAGAGAAATTCTAAGAAATTGTCAAGAAAGTACACAGGGAAGTCCAATTAGATTTCTAATGCTTTCTCAAAATATAGCAGAAAATCAGAGATATATATGTAACATTTTACATCTTACATATATAATCTAAGAAACATCGTGATAATAGAAAATTATGCTGAACTTGTTATGCAATATTTATACTGATCACAGAGCGGAAAATCATCTATTGAAAGCAAGCGTAATGTTTAAACTCTTGTAACATTGCAATCTGAGATATTTTGTATATTTTTTGAATTTATTTATATTAATACTAAGATCCGGTTTGAATATAAAATTTTTCTTATTTTTTAAATTAGATTTTGATCGGTCAAAATTTGGTAATCGTTTATTTGAAATGTTTCTTCTGTTAGATATTTCTAGAAAAAAGATTAATTTTTCCTTAGAAAATTTCCTCGCTTTTGACATTATGAAACGTAGAATAACTGATATTCTGAAAAATATTCTAAATTTTAATGAATACTGTTGAATAGTAATAGTATACAGGGTTGGCCATATTCGACGGAAAGATCTGGCAACAACTGTAACTTTTAACAGAGATGTTAGATCGAGTAACGACGTTTCCCATGATTGAAAAAAAAACATCTTTCCGTCGAATATGGCCAACCCTGTATGTTTACACTATCTGTAAACATACATTTATCTGATATAGGAACTATTAATTTCTTTAACTTATCATTTTTTAGTAAATATTTATTGTAGATATATGTATTTATTTATATTGCTTTAAATTAAATGTGTACTTAGTTCTATTCAAAAAAGTATGTCTTAAGATTCAATAAATTTTTCTTCAATATAGACTTTTGAAATTGAGAGAAATTTAATTGTAATCTGGATCTTTTTTTGGCACAAGCGAAATTTCGCTTTCAAATTTCTCCAAAATAAAGGAGAGCGAAATTCTTTTCTTAAAAATATCTTATTAAAAAGCTATTTAATAATATAATACAGATATTGAAAAGTAACTTTGAATTTTTCCACATTTTTTGAAAGCCTAGTAAAAAGTAGAACATCAAAAAAAACGATGGAAGTAAAAATATGATTGCAGATAAAGATTTAATTCTAATGTCGAATGCTGTTTAAATGTTTTTCTTTTGCAACAAATTTCTTTACCGAAAGGCAAACCATGAAGAAGGATGGCTCGCGAAAAGACGATACTGCTAGCGTTTGCCATTAACATTATAGATGTTAAAAGTCAATTCCATTGTATACATTGTATACTGTAAATACGATAAGATTAAATGAAATAAAATTATTGAAAACTTCAAAATTGAAACTTACAAATTTCTTATTATAATTTATTATAACGTTCAATATAACGACTACCTTATAAAGATGACTCAGATATTTCAACAGATTACGCGTATGGTCCACTAGATTACACTGTCCCGGAATGTTTCAAAGAAGGCATATGGTTATCACAATTTTTAATGACTAATTATATGTCGATCATACACACAACGTGTTATTGCGATGACGTAATCTTCAATCGACTCTCAACGGAGTCTCTTTCTTCGCAACAGCGAGATTAATCGTATTACGTTCAATTATTCATTAAATATAAAATTATAATTGTTAACCTTGATTTGAATTGAAATTATAATATAAATCACCTTCTTCGAAATTAAGCGAATAATTCGTTTTAATAAATTAATCTCTTTGAAATAAGAAACATATGATTTTTATAATTTTAATATCGAATATTAGAATATCATCGAAATGATGAATATTCGAATTGCAAAATTATTGCCGGCTTCACAACAGAAAATTAAACAAACTCTCGGCTCATTAAGTTATTTAATATAATTGTCTTTTCGAAAATGTTACTACTTATCGTTATTTATACGTAAAGAATCCAATGGTTATTGGATTTTCTGTCCTCTATCGTCCTTCAGCAGATCGTTCACGATAACGTTTGATCGTTGAGCAACAAGTTTGTAATATTATGTTTGACGCACTTTGTCCCATGATTACGCATTTAAATGTGATGTTCAAACCTTGTCGTCATATCAGTAAACCGGATATATACCTTATTTTGATGCCTCCTATTATTAATAATCGGATTACAATAATAATTATCAAGTAAAAATTATGAAGAATCTATGTATTTCTCAAATAATCCAATACATTTTAAATATCTGTTAATTTCTCTGCTAAATATCGACATTAAATTTTTAAAATTATATACATTGAATGCAACATCGGCTATCTTACTGTCTTTAATGCATTCAACTATTAAGACATACACACATAACAATAATTTCACCAATTAAAAAGCATGAAGAATCTGCGCATTCCTCAGATAATTCGATATTTTAAATCTCTATTTCTTTATTAAATATCGTAAATTTCTAAATTGATGTTAAAAGCAAACATCGGCTATCTTATCTTTGATGCATTCAACTACTGATAATCGAATTGTAACAATAATTGTTTGTTAAGTAAAGAGTTCGAAGAATCTGCGTATTTTTTTGGATAATTCGACATTTTAAATCTCTGCCAATTTTTGTACCAAACATTTTTTTTTAATTTTCTGTTAAATATTGTAAATTTTTTAAATTAATGCGACTAGCAGAATCTGGAGAAATAGTTTATCAAATAATGTTTTTTTTTTTAAATTAATGAATATGATTATTAAAATTATGGAAAGTATCGCAATTATTAATACTTCATTTAGTTTATCTCTTGAATTTTCTTTATCGGGGTCGGTGTCAGCGCACATGGCACATGAACTGTTCAAACTTCGCGACTTCCTGTTGAACGAGAAGCTTTTGCGCAAAACGCCAACGCGTACAAAAGAGAAGTCTGATTAGAACGTCTGATATTATTTCATCAACATATTAATTTATCATTAAACCTTTGTCTTGATATAGAAAAACGGAGTCAACGAACGTGATGTTTTCTAACAATTTGCGTGCTTATTATACGCAAAGAACAATCGGAATTTGAATCATTTGCTGTTATCAGCGAATCCATAATTCCTGCAAAAAAAAATGTATAATAATACCATGAAACGGAAATTGATGTAAGATAAATGTTAAATCGCTATGAGAAATTGAGTCATTACAAGTTTTGACACTTTTAGGAGAGATACTTTATTTGTATCATGTTCATGTTTTTAAAAAAAATTGAATAATTACATTATATTGGTCGATAAAGTAAAGTTTCTTATAGAAGATCTTAAAGAAGACGTTTATTTCTTTAACATCGATAACATGTATAATCTTTTTGAAATCAATACTAATAGCATTCTTTTAATGGAAATATATTCACAAATCGAAGGCTAATTATATGTTTGAAATGCGATAGATAAAATTACATAATAACATTACATAATACTCCTTGCATTTCTTGTTAACTCTAATATATCATTTATGGGTTCAATGTACTCTGTGTGATTTTTTATATTTGCTTTAACTTTTTTATAATATAATATGAAGATCCGGATTAAATTTAAACAGAATTTTTAATTTTAATATTTTAGAATTTTTTTTTCAAAATGGTCATTTTTGCGAATTTTTCCAATAACATTTCTTTGAAGCATTGTAATTAATTGAAAATAAAATATTTATTTGATTCACAATTATCTGTCTTTGTCTGACTTCGTAGAATAAATTTCACACGTTTTGAGCTAAAAAATATCTATTCAGTCCAGAGATATATAGCGTGACAAAGTTGTAGGGTTTCACAAACCCTAATGTGATCAGGAAGGTAACGAAAAATAACAATGACTTGCTAAGATTAAGGCTCGTCCATGCCAATCGTGTTAATCGAATATACTGATTTCGTCTTCTTTTTTATAAAAAATGGAAAAATCTTTAGAGGTGAATGAGAAAAAAATTGTGCAGGATAATTTTAATTAAAAATAGATTTGAAATAAAAAAAATTGAAGGTAAATGTAGATTTGTCAATCTCTAAGCAAATTCCCTAATCTTTTATTTGCCACATCGAAATGTAGTATACTGTTAACTGGGATATTGACAATCGCTTAGTTAATATCTAGACTAATCGAGTAAAAATAATTTTTCCATCACGATGACTCATGATTACATATCTTTGTTTGCTTTCAAAACTCATTATTTTCCAGTTGATAATACTGATGTTATTCATCATAGCAATTTAATGCCTGTTCTACGAATATAGATTAATTTTAATTTTTATTTTATTTCTCTTCATCTTTTTTTAATTCTTTTCCAAAATATTTATGATAAATATTTATTATTATCATTCATTTTTTTTTACAAGATTTACAATAAATATTTCATAATATTTATAATAAATGTTTATAATCTATGCAATCTAAGATCATAAAAATATTTAAAATAAGACTTATATACTTATACATACTTATAAATGTTTTGTAAATATTTTATAAATATTTTATAAATATTGTGCTGGGTAGAACTAGAAAAAAATGAAGAATTATTTGAACTAAAATTCAACTACATTGGTAGAAACAGGAATAAGAATAGTTAAAACTCGTGTATACACATTACGTATTGGAAATTGAAGATTGCTAATTGAAGATTAGAATTCAGCCAATCAGAACAAAACGTATTAAAATTAAAATTATCCGACTCGTTGAATTCTAATCTTTAATTCGCAATCCTTAGGCCCGGTTTCATAAATATAAGATTAACCTTGTGATTTAACTTACTATTTATCTTTTTTTAAGAAAATCTAATTTTTAGAATTAGAAACAGATAAGTAAGTTAAATCGATTAAAGTTAATCTTACATTTGGAACCGGCTATAGAATCGCTAAAAGGCCGATTTTTCCAAAACAATAGTGATTTTAACTGATCTTTTTGTAAAGAATCGCTTTTTTGTTTTTAACAAGGAAGACTTTTTCAAAGCGATTTTTTTTACAAGAAATCCATTTTTAGCAAAGCAATCTAGAAAAATCGTATATTCTTAAAACCGAGTTTCAGTCTTCAATGCGTAATACAATATGGGCTTTATTGCTGAAGAAAAACACAAGATCGACTTCTTCGATGTGTCCTTAATACATCAACAAATGAAAGTATTCGGAAATTTCAGAAAGATAAGAATATATTCAAGGCCGGTACGGCTTGAATATATTTGACTGCATTCCATTTCCTGCAGTATTACAACAAAGAAAGCTAAACTGAACTCATTCGTTGAAGGTTTAATAATACGAATATAAAGTCCGTAAATGGCGCATTTCAAGAAAACTTTACAAGAAGCTTATTCTAAACGCAGATCTTTATTGGAGCTCAACAACTTTGCGTTATTATTGGAATTGTCGCAATAACTCGAGGGATAAAATCTAATAATCGTGAGAGATTTGCGGAGATAAAATTTGGATAATGCCTAATTTTATTTAATTTTTTTATGTCTCCTATGTTTTATTTACAATCTATAATTCACAATTTTATCAAACAAAAAATATGTATATATATAATATATATATGTACATATAAAGATATTTGTACATATAAACAGGTCAATGAAAGTATGGCACAATAATTAGTGCGCAAAAAACCTGAAGTTTCGATTTATATATACATATAAATTATATTTAACTTGCTGTTAGAGTTTCGAAAATGAGCTTTCTTAGTCATTACCTAAATCTTAAACCATAAGAAATTGAATATCAATTATAATTGATTATTTTTCTCACAATCGATTGTGATTGGTCAATCCTTAGGGTTTAAGACTTTAGCTTAGATAATGGCTTATTGTAAGAAGCCTATTATTACAAATTTAATATAGAAAATTAAAGAGAATAGATACATAACAAAAAACAGTTTAATATTTCAATCTTACATCTGCATTTAATGAATAGTTCTATAATATGCAATTAACGAAACTCGTGACTTTAGTTATTATAAAACACACACACACTCTCTCTCTCTCTCTCTCTCTCTCTCTCTTTCTCTCTCTCTCTCCTTTATATAATATTATTTTTAATTAATGTGATGTTAACACAAAATTAAATCTGGAAAAGTTGCACAGAGTATTTTGCACGAAATTGTCGTTGACAGTTCAGTAAAGATTCATTAATTTTGCTAAAAAATAATTCTTGAAAATTTTCCTTCTTTTTTCCTGGTATTCTGTAAGATATTCTTCTGTAGATCATATTGTTTGTCTAATAAGTCACGCCTGCGGATAATGATGAAATTACAAAAAATTCCACTAATGCGAGGTCATTACAAATAATATACCAGATAAACATCAATCGGCAAATATCAAACATTACTATAGCTCTCAGTTGTTTATTCTGTAGTAATCCTTTTTTATTAATTCTCTTTTCGTGATCAATATATCATTATTATATTAAATGCTAAATTATGATATAAATTATTCTTTTAAGAGATTCTAGACTGAAATAATTTCAAAGAAATCGTTAAATATTATTGTAACGTGTAATCATCATATTACAATTCTAATAAAAAATACACACAATTACTTTGTAAAAGTCCAATGATTAGCTCATATTTCTCTTTACAATATTATAGAACAAATAAAGGAAAATATTTTTCAATCAACGTTTCTAAATATAACTGCTACTTCTTTTTCTTAATCGTTGAATAAAAGATGAAACAATTTCATAAAATAAAAGACGAAGTTTTATCTTTTTTTCTATCGTAATCTACGATTTTTAAAGAAGCGATATTTCCGTTTAACTGTACAAGATATTGCTTTGTTTCAGGTATTGTTGGATGCACGCATTCACAAGAGAATTTACCTTCCACCGTCTCTCCTGAACTTCAACAGATCGCCGGTGTGGTGGAGGACCGAATCCCGGATATTGTAAAGAAAATAAACAAATCAGGGCTGTCCGTTGAAGAAGGCACGAATCGTTTTAGAGAAAGATGTGTAAAGAACGCCGGACCAGACGCATATGATCTTATCGATCGCGCCCAAGTTGAAGCGACACAATGTATTCAGAAGCTCATCAACGTTACCGAACTCTACGCGGAGATGGAAAAGTACAAGCCGACAGGTGATCTGGATATTGTCTTCAGGGAATATTGCAGCAAGCGCCAAGCTATACGAACTTGCGTGAGCAATTTCACGAATACGATGGCGGTTTGTCTGGACGAGAAGATGAGAGAGAATAAGAAAATAGTGATGAACATAACTGACTCGCTTCTCGAGTTTGTCTGCTACAAAGAAGGGGATCGAATCGCCCGTATGTATGAACTGAATTAATTTTATTTTAAATACAACAGTAATACCAAGTTCCAAATATATATTTAAGAAGCAGCTTGGATTATTATACATTAGCTTGAATTATATCTTTGCAGTTTTCATATCGGCTGGAGGACCAGAGTGCTTTGAATCAAAAACGCAAGAAATTTTAGATTGTGCCAACAAAACATTTGGTAATAACGTATCAAAATTGGATTTTGATGGTTTTCCTTTGGGATTTGAGAATTTCTCGGGTTGGGAGTTTAATCCTAAAGAATGCAGGTGAGTCGTGCGAAATTCACAAATTTGTTCTTTGACGATATTCCTGAATTAAATTTAAACATTCGTATTCAAAATCTTGCATATTTGAAAAATTCAATTTTTTAAATTAATATTTCCCTACGCCTTTCTGTACGGAAAGGAGAAATTTATGTTCGTTTGACGCAATTACAGGAACGTAAACAAATTGCAAAGCTGCGTTGTGACAGAATTAGAAAAATGTCCGGATCCTACACCTGCGAATATAATGGATTCTGTATTTAATTTTATCAAGAGAGTTACGCCGTGTGAGAACATACTCGCAGAAAGTGCTGCTGCTACTGGTACACAATCCAGTGCTTCGCATGTGGGCGCTCTTACAATTATAGCAACTCTGTCTACTGTTTTATCTGTAGCAAGCTATAGTTTCATCCCTGTAACGGTATGAATACATACAGGTACAGCTTTATTCCAAATATGTGAAGATACGAATAGAGATATATGAAAGTTTACATGTACCAGTAGTGCTAAATTTAATGTAACAAACAAGAACTCACAATTATGGACAAGGGTATTATACTTTCAATTTTTGTTCTCTTTTTTCTATTTTTTTTTACAAAATAAGATTTGAATTTCTTTTTCTCGCATAGCTATACTTTCTCTTATTACAAAAGTAATACAAAAATTGTTCGATTAATTTAATATGGATATTCAGTGACTAATATCAATAAAATAAAAAAATCAAATAATTTGAATATTCATATTAAATTAATTGAATAATTTTTTACACTAATAATTAGTGTAAAAAATCTAAGACAGTTTAATGTTTAGATATTTCGCACTTAATCAAAAATAGTACAATAATTAATCTTTCGGTGTCACTCTATATCGTATGTATATCACGTTGTCAGATTAATGTGAAAAATATCGCATAAAAATAATCGTAACATATTTTTTTCAATCAAAACATCAGAAATATAACAATAACAAGCAAATGAATCTTTATGAATAAAAAAGATGTACAGGATTGTTAGCAGTCAGGGAAAAAGCTAGGAAAAGTCAAAGAATTTTTTGGAAAAAACCAAAGGGGAGTATTAAATAAAAGCAAAGATAAAAACGTTTTATTACAATAAAAAATAAATGGAAGATGATAACATAAAATAAAATTTTTAGAGCATTTTTGTATTCAGTCTCAAACATAATTTTTAGTTTTTAACTTCTTCATCAAATAGCCTTTTTCTCTCAAAGTTTATGTTTTTCTTTATTCATTTTTTTTGCTCCTTTAATAGTATAACAAAGTAAAAAGAATTTCGAGTATTCGACAGGAGTGACATCGAAGGATTAACTCCTTTCTTTTAAAAGCTACTTATATATTAAGATTATATAAAAAATATAAATATATTGCTATATCTTTTATATGTTCATGTTTGTTATACATAAGAATACTTTTATGTGGTTATATTTATGTATCATATTAATGTAAAAAAAAAATATTTTACATTAATACGATAATTATACTAGTGTCAAGTTTATATGAATACGTATATATTTAATATTTCATTTTTTTGTACATTTTGTACATGTTCCAAAAATCTTAGGTAAGCTCTTTTAGGTAATTCCATTTTAAATAAAATATCTTCGTTTCTCAATAAATTTAGACTTTACAGAAAAATATGGAAAATAATTTGCTTCTCTGAAAAATCATCCGATTATATATTTTCCAAACACAAATTGTAATGTTAGTTCATAAAGTTTTTGTATAGTCGCGAAGAATAAAACAGTATTGTTTGTAAAACAGTTTAGAATTACATTTGTATGACATTTTGATTGATAAGATACAAGCACATGAATGTTACGAACTAATACAAAATTATAAGTGCAATATAAGTTATGGCAAATGTGTATCTTAATGTATCTTAATAGTTTAAGAACCAAAGTTTCTGATAATTTTATTAAGCAATGTATTTAATAAATTCAGTACTTTATTTACAACCGATGTTTCATGAACCTTTTACATTAAATAGATGTTAGAAAATTTTTTGAATATTTAAGAAATATTATCTATTTAAATTTTTATATTGTAAATATTTCTGATGAAAGATGCTTCCGTTCTGTATTTATAATATTACATTTATTCTTTGAAAGACAATTTTTAAAATTGTAATAATGTAAGAAAACAGGATGCATTCGGTTGAATAAATCAAGTGTTTAATATAATAAATTATTTAATGTATTTGAATATTAATATAACAATGATAATAATCACAAATGTACTATATTGATATAATTATATACATTCTACAGTTGTGAAATAGTCATTTTTAGTATATGCTGTGATAGAGAAAAAAGAATTTTTCATAAATATCAAAAGTATATTTTATTTATATTCTTCAAATATCAAGAGTAAATATCTCTTTATATACGAAGGCTCGATTAAAGCTCGATTATAATTTAATTCTAATCATTTATACCATTATAACAAAAATATCTCTTGTACTGTACAAAGCAAATATGTGTAATTATAATCACATTTTTAAAGTCCGATCGAAATTTCGGTTTTGATTTCGATCAGTTTCGGTAAAAAATCAGAGTTCAATTTGATTTCGATTTCGATTGAAATTAAGAGAAAATTTCAATAAGTAAACCGAAACTGCACAATTTGCAACGCGGCGAGCGTTCGAATGAAAACCTATATGTTACCATCGCACGAGATCAGCGTCGATTGCTGCAAATTAGCCGGCGCTATCTCTTTCTTTTTTATTCTTTTTTACGTCAAGTCGGCACAAATTCCAAATTGTCTAATGCCTGAAATTCCTTATAATTTAAGAAATAAAATATCTTATTAGAGATAAGATAATCTTATTTTTAAGAGTACATACATTTCACATATTTCGACATTTTGCAATGACTTTCTAAAAATTATATGATATTTGTAAGATTTATCTAATTTTCGCTTTCGGTTTCAGGCGAAATTATATAAAAACCGAATATTCGTTTTTGATTTCGGTTAGAAATAAAAAATGGATCGGACTCTACACATTTTACTTTAGAAGCGCTTTTCCAGCATAAATATTTCATGCTTAATAATAAATATTTAAAAAAAATACAATTATAAAAAGAAATAATTATAAAATACATCACAAATTACATTATTCATCAATTTAATAATGATGCTAATGAGCATCTGAAAAAGGGCTAAAAAATCTATTAGTGGAATTATGTTAAAGGTGGAAGTTCTATGAACTGTTCCAATCTGAATTGTAAATCAGTACCATCCTCCCATGGCACAATTTTTGCCTTCGTCGACATGGAGGTAGATAATTCATTTAGCTGATTGATAAGCGAATAGCCTTTACGGGGGCATGCCAGATCAGTCTCCGAGAGGCGCAAAATCGGACAGAGATCGTTCCTTCCATCGCCGACATAGACAATTCTCTCATAGCTTTTACCCTGTTTATGCTTATCTTGAATATAATCCGTTAAAATCTGTCCTTTGCAAAGATTGACAGTGCTCATCTTGCATGTGTCTTGAATATGATATGGGTCCACCCTCAACTTGTCTTTGTCATATCGGGCTGGGTTCGTAAAGACGTGCGACACAACATGATTGAGCTGCCTACTTCTCAGCCAAGAGTCTATGAACACGCTATTGGACTCTGCATGCCTGCAACTTCAGGTATACCAATAATAACATTTGCGATTTGATGTGATTTTACAGAGTTTTCATGTAGAAGCTCGAAGATCTTGCTCATATAGACTATCCAACCGCTAGACTTCCGTAAGTTGTGCACATCCTTGGATATCTCGATTGGCAGCAAATTTTGCACTACTAGATCAGTGTTGCCGTCGCAGATGGTGTGGTCAAAATCGAACGCCACGAGTATATTGCGATCCATCTTTACATTAATTAAAATATAATATAATCATTGCGTTATATAGTTGCCAATATTTAAAATTCGATATACCTGTTAAGACATTTATAGCATAATTTTAATTGAATTGCTTTCTATTTTTATACAAATAATAGGCTGAATCTTATATATCTTTATATATATATATATATATATATATAAAAGTATTTTATATGCAGATGATGACACTACTTGTTTACTTTGATGAAAAAATTGTCACATAACAATATAGGTTTATATAATCTCACTTTCAATGTGAGTTAACAAGACTCAGATTCAGTAAAGCACACGAGTTTGTGCAAATTGTAGATAAAAAGTTGAGTCACTTGTTAGATTGAAAAGGAACCTGAATTCAACTGAGTTATAATCTCGCAAATGAGAATTATCTGAGTTGTGATGTAAGTGGAAAGTAACTATTGTGTTTTCAATGTCAGCTGATATTACATAAAATTAGCTACATATATAGAATGGTTTATTTAATCTGTGTTTTTTTTCTAGTTTAATTGAAGTTAGAAAAAAAATTATCTAATTAAATATTAATTATTAACTCACTTGGTGGATACGTAAATTGATTGCAAAAGGACCGGCCGAGTAAAATCTATGTATAGATTAGTAAGAATTCACACCTGCCAACAACTTCTCCTCTTCACATATTTACTAACAATGGACGAGCCAAGCGATAAAGCGGGCATGCTTACCGAGCGATTGAATATGATTGGTTGGATCTATAAGTAACAACCAATTATGTTCATTTGCTCGGCGAGCAGGTAGCCGCTTTATCAACTTGAACGCGCCCAATGTTTTGAATTGATTGAAATGAAAATGTGCGCCATCTATGTTACTCAAAATGCGGGAAATTCATGTTAAAAGAAAATAACTATTTGTATAATCATTTGTATATCTAATCTAATTATAGTCAAGCATTCCCCTGTCGTTCGATTGTAACAGGGGAATACTCGACTGTAATTGGTTGATTCTTACATTCAGATCCGAATTAAACGGTGGAAATTAGGCTTAAAACTCTCTCTGTTTCATTTTAAAGCGAAAAAGAGATAGAGACAGAAAGAGTTTTAAGATTAAAGTATTAAAGTATAATTCATTTAAAATTAAAGTAAACGTTGGTGCAATCGGGCATAAGTAAATTTTCACGAGCTGCTCTAACTGGTCGTTTCAATGACAAAAAGGATCATATGATCAAAATGGAAGCTTGATATTCACCAATTTTTACTACGTGATCTTTTTTGTCGTTGAAACAGCCAGTTTGAGCAGCTCGTGAAAATTTACCTTAAATATAGTCTAATGCAGTGCAGGAATAGAAAGAACAAAAAAATAGACCATCAGATTTCTTCCAAAAAAAAGAACAGACCTAATACTGGCGTGCGCGTGCGCGCGCAAATTAAATCCCTCGCGATTCTGCGCGAACTTCACGACGTAACGAAAATCACGAGCGTCGATTGGCTCGCGCGCGTGTCACACTCGGGTATCTTCGGCCATGTTCGCGGGCGGATCGAGCACGTTCGTCTGATCTGGCTGGCAGGCGAGGGGGATAAGAGCCAGTGCACTTGAGAAAGCCCACCGTAGGCTGTCTCGACGTGTATGTTCTGAACGCTCCGCAACATGTTAATGAGTTTTCGTCTGCTCCCAACGAAAAATTCACGTGGCGTATTCAGTATACGAAAGAAAGACATTAGTTCAAGACATTTACCCTCTTGATCGAGTCTTTTACTTAGTACCAATTGTGCAATAAGCAAACTGAGGAACGATGCCAGGCAAAGGGGGCAGAAGAGGAAAGTACGGTAAGCGCACAATTTTGATATATCCGAAACGCATCGTTTCCTTCTCTTTTCTCTCGTTTCCTCATTATTTAAAGGAAAAAAGATAAAGGAGCCCTACGATCTGACGAAGAGCGCGCACGTGACGCGCGCTCGACATTATTAAATTATCGATTCGCGCCTCCGTCCGTCCATCCGTCCATCCGTGTCCCGAATGAATCACGTATCCGGAATGAAATCTGTATTTATTTCGTCGACTTACGTCACGACGCGAAGCCTCGACTCGATCAATCAATTCTTTTCCCTCCCTCAGGATTCGCCCACCGTCGCTAGCTTTTCCGTCTTTCCATCGGGCCCTTTTTGGCGCGCGAAAACGCGAGTTTCCCGGGATTCATGGCGGACAGCGATATGATTCCCATGTGACTCTCATGCTGATGACACATGGAACCCGCGACACGCGGTCCATCGTGACGCCTCGCGTCTCGCCGTATTACAGATAACACGCTGTATGGACGGAGTACACCTCCTAAACAATCTGTAAGGCGTGTCCGTAAAGTACGCGAGACATTCACGCTCGCAATTAAAAAACACGTCTCCCCTCTTCTCCCCCCCCCCCCTGTAAGAGGTTATAGGAATTAAATATCAGAGCTGCGAGGTGCGCGGCGAGCAACGCCAATCATGCGTTGAATATGTATTTATATTTCTTTTATGATAACGATGATAATTAGCGAAGGCGAATACTGGGACACTCGGCTGTGTCAGGCGAATGTATCGTACATGACTCGTGCGATATGTATATGTAGGGCATGTATATAAATCTCTCGTCTTTGTGCTTCACTTCCAAATGAATACTTTGTTCTCTTTTTTTTTCAACCGTTTTATTTTTATTTGCGCGTAAAACTCGAATTGATATTTTTCCGCATGACGGATGGCTGCGTCCAATAGAAAAAGTAGCTTTAATCCTCGCTGGATTTAAATGTATATGTCGGTCGTGTTAAAAAACCTTATGACAGTTGCCGAACTGCTTTTTCTGCTGAACGCAAACATGTGCGCGAGTAAAGCCCATGTCACACATTACACAGAGAATTGAAGATTAGAATTTGATCTGGCAATTAATTTTAATTTCAATCCGTTTTGTTCCGAATTCTGATCTTCATTCCTCGCGATCTCTTCGATCTTTAAAGCTTAAGTTCGTATCGCACGCGTTGCAGATTGAGAATTGCGATCTGAAAACTAGAATTAGAATTCAGGAAGATTAGAATTCAGCTAATCAGAACGAAACGGATTGAAATTGAAACTATTTGGCTGATCAAATTTTGATCTTCAATTCGCAATCCGCAATCTCCAATGCGCGAGACACGGGCTTAAGAATTTGCGCAATCAGTAGCAATCCATGGCAATCGGCGATTTACTCACTTCGTTTAAACTTATTGATGTTTTACAGTCTTCTTTTTTGTAGATATTTATCCGTTTATCGATCGGACAAATATTATCGCGCATAATGAGATATTTCCTTCGCCTTCCACTCTTCCCCTCCTCTCGAGTCCCTCAAGGACTCGGCTCAAATTGCGGATTTTTATTGTTCCCGTATTGCGCATTTGTTGGGATGAGTCGCAGCTTTTCGATATTTTCTCTTCGCTGCTCCGCCGACGAATTGGCGATAACTATAATCTTCTTCTAGTTGATAAAACTTAAATGCAGCTGAAAAATTGAATGATTCGAGAATTGCGGACGGACTTGTCGCAATTAAAAATAATTTTTAATTCTTGTACGATTTTAATTATTTTGGCGGCGCGTTCGTATATTTTCTTTACTTTTTCGCGAATATAAAATTGTGAAATTATTTTTTTGAAAATATACTTAATACGCGCGCGCGCGCGCATGTGTGTGTGTGTGTGTGTGTGTGTGTGTGTGTGTGTTGTATATTTTCAAAAAATAAAATTTCCACTATGTATATAATTTATTTATAAAATGTAATATAAATTATGCATTACATACAGAAAAATTATTTACTTATATTGAAAAAAAATCTTAATTCCAAAAAAATAATTTTTTTTAATATGAGCGCAAAGAAATATTTTTTTGAAATTAAAATTTTTTTTTCAATATATGTAAATATAAAATCTCTGGTTAAATACATTGTATTGTTATTATTAGCTAAAAATATTTCGTATTTTTTAATAAACAATTAAATAATATTTATTATATAAAATATTAAACGTATATATTAAACAATTATTAAATAGTTGTTATATATAGTATATTAAACGATTATTACACAGTGCTCTAACTTATCGCAATCGTGAACCTTAATTTTTCACGTTTTAATTATCAATTCTGAAACACGTGCCGAAACCCGTTAATGAGACAGGTACAGCTGTGTAGATTTCACATTATGTAACACGACATTCACTTTCAAGAGCTCTTATTATTTTCCTCAACTCGGAAAATTACTTTGCCTGTCAGGCTTTTATAGTTTCTGACTGCCATAAGATTTCAAGCTGCAACCTTTGGCGTAATTAGCGTTTATTATCAACGGAGATAAGCTGTTATCAAATCACTTCTAATCAATTTCTGAGAAATTTCCTCGCTCTTCTGGATGAGCCGGGAATATTAAAATCTACTAAAATCATTATTAAAACTGATAGAAACTTTACACATATTAACAAATACATGTGAAGTTTCTAACTTCATATGGCACCTTATTGACAATTTTTTACTATATTTTTTACTATATGAATCAATATTAAAAAGTGTCTTGTCATATATGAATCATTTTGCATTTTTAACTTTTGTTAATTATATTCACGTCTCACGCATTCATAAATAGATAAAATATAAAATATAAAATTATGTATAAATGTATCTACACAGCTACACAAACATATATATATATATATATACACACATACAAAAGGTTGCATTTATAGTTCTGCAGGGATAGACGAGTGAACCATATGTTTTGTATTCTGCTGACAGGTGGAAAAAGAGCTGAGTTTACATCTGATGAGGATTCAATCAACAATGATGCGTGCAGCGAGACCAGCGGCCAATCCGACAATCGTAGTGTGCTGGAGGACGCGAATGACAACGAGGTGGACGAGCTCGCGCAGCAGGAAGCGTTCGAGGAGAAGGTGAAGGAGGCGATCGATGGTTTGACGCAGAAGAGCGCGAAGGGTCGAATTATCTGTTTTAATGGTATAGAGAAAATTTTCGCCATCAAGTATATACCTGATTTCGTGGAGGATAGAAAGATGACTATCACGGATGCTGTGGAGCGTGGCTTGAAGAAGGGACGCGGCGATGAGCAATCGACAGCTGCCAGATTGAGCACCCTGTTGTGCGTCCAGTTGGGCGCCTTCAAGAGTGCCGAGATGGTTTGCAGAGATCTAAAATCGATTCTCACCTTCATCGCTAACGACAATACAGCTTCTGTCCATGCTCGCGCCGAGGTAACGTGAATTATACCGTGTCATAATGGCTGGCATTTGAAATCAATCTTATATTGAAAACTGTCCTAAATGACGTCTATAAATCTAGGTCCACAATCTTACTTTAAGAGACCGTGAGCCGTAAAGTCTTACATTTAATTGTATCAATTTCTTATGGCTTACGGTTTAAGACTTGCGCCTTAAAATCTCATTGTAGATGCCGCTTTAAGTGCAGTTTTAAGATGTCATAAACCAATCAGCATTTTATATCATATTGGCATTTTAAGATATTATTTAAGACGGTCTTAAAAATAAGAACGAATGAATATCGACCAATATTTCAAAAGAGGGTACAAATAATGTCACTTTTTTGTTAATCCAATTCTAAATTAGTTTTTAAATGATTAAGGCATATATGACATTTATTTAAATGTACTAATCTTTTTTTTAATGTATCATTATTATAATTTTTTAATCCATGAAGAAAAATATATAAGAAAAAGTAGAAATAAAAAGATCCAAACAGTCGTGAAAAAAAGTTGTATTCTTTTATACGATTTATTAATGATCAAACTTTTTATATTAATAAAATGATTTCAGTGTTGCTGGGCGTTAGCCATGAATCAATTCTTGTCGGGCAACGATACGACTGACACCATGGAAATCGCACAATTATTGTCGTCTATCTTTTCGGGCTCTTATTTGAAGGGAAACGGCGCGATCGCAAACATATCTCCGGACGTGGCAGCGTTACACGTGGCAGCTATCTCATCGTGGACCCTGCTTCTAACAGTTATGACCTCCGCGGATATCTACAATTTACTCGCGAGCGGCAAGACGAACAGTTACATGCCGTAAGTCATTAATTGTCAATACGCAGGAACGTGCGATGATGAGTACGTGAAAATTTTTTTTTTCCAGTTCACTCAATCGATTACGCGAATTGTTGGAATCACCACATCTCGACGTACGTCTATCAGCCGGCGAGGCGCTAGCGATAATATTCGAACTCGGTCGTGATTTCTCCTGCGACTACGAGCAAAATTGGGCGCTTGATCTAATCGAAATTCTCAAGGAACTCGCCACAGATTCCAACAAGTACCGTGCTAAGAAAGATCGCAAGCAGCAACGCGCTAATTTTAGAGATATTCTGCGTTATATCGAGGTAGGTAGTTTATTGTGCAACTATTTATTCGAAGGAATATCTGTGTTTTAAAAACGAGACTTGGCGATCGCATGCCAAGATACGACGAGGCGTTACACATTCCGTTTTACTTTTAGGAAGATATCGTTCCGGAGATGCATGTGAGATTTGGTCAGGAAATTCTGTATTTAGGGGGATGGTGTGCGAGAACCCAGTACAACGCTTGCTGCCGGCTATTAGGCACCGGTATCAATTTTCATCTTGCTGAAAATCAACTCTTGCGCGAGATCTTTCACCTCGGCAACAAAGTTCTACCTCCGCCAGTCACAATCAAAACGAGTAAATTAGAGCGAGTTAGTATTGATAGATGCACTTGTTTGTTTTAAACAACATGTTTTTAACAAGACTAAGTATCTTATCTTTTTTGTCGACTTGTAGACATTGATGAACGCGGCCGCGTTCAAGGCACGCACCATTCAGCGCAACAAGAATCGCGATAAACGATCTGCAGCTATGGCACCGTAATCTTACTTCTACTCTCCTATGCTGGTTGTCTCATTTTAGTGTAATACAAATATATTTGAATTTTTCCTTTAATTTATTGTAACTATTTAATAGCATAAATTACTGTTTTCTTAGTCGATTCTTAAATCGAAATTGTACAAATATTCTCCACATTACATACGCCCTTTCTCCTTGCATAAATTTTGTCAATGTTAATATGTGATTCATCTTGTCACTTTAATGGCTATATTTATTTAATGATATATATACTTAATGATTTAACAAATCCACGTGTATATACAAATCAAAATATATGTATATATACAATTGTAATGCTGGTAACAATGATTATATTATATATCATATAAATTATTTTATCACATGCATTAAGTGTTTTATCAACTCGAATATTGATGATCTTTTGAACTGTTATTGTTTCTCTCTTGGATATATTAATTGTATGTTAAATACATGTTGATTTTGGCAATGAAATTACCTGTTTTAATTGCTAGAGATTGAATTGTCTGATTTAAAAATGGTAATATGCAAATGCATGGAATTATTTCATATATAACAGTAATTGTATACAGTAAGTAAAATGTACGAAATATTACTAGCAATGTACATAATTAGTAAGTTATATGTAAGTTGTAATGACGTATTCAATTAAACTAAAATGTAGATTATATAAAAATAAACGTCAACGATAAAATTACCTGTTTTATTATTATACATCTTTCTCTATAGAACAATCCAATAGATACCGAACAGATCTCGTTATCTTTGACGATTTAAAAACGTCGATCACAGTCACTTCCATTAAAAAAAAAAACTACAGTCACGAAATCATAATTACATAACTTTAATTAAGTACATTTCATTCTATTTCGATATTTTCACGATAATAACTTTTTACAATCACAATTACAATACAATGGTACATAAAAATAATATTACACTTAATTACAGGACTTATTACTAATATTAAGCGTACAGTCATGGCAATCAATTTCTATAGTCTCCTTTCATTATATAAACAGGGTTGAGAACATTATCTCAAAAGTAATGCATTACCGTTATCGTTACTTTTTGTAAAAAATAATAACGAAACGAGAATATGGGAGTCAAGCGCGATATTCGGTGCACAGATTAAATAATTCTATAATAAGTCAAATTTAATTAATTCAAATCCATCCAAATATTAGGTGTTGGAATTAATTCGTAGCGTTTTTTAATGAAAGAATGTTATTTATTTCACATGAGCATTAAAAAATACATTAATGAAAGTACTTCCCATCACTTGTAAAACGCTACGAATTAATTCCAACACCTAATAAAAATCTTACAATATTTTGCTCTACGTACGTTTCGGCTCTAATATTTGAGCAAAAATGAAGATTAAAATCGAAAACTACATGTCGTGTTGAATGCTAGACGAAACGAGAGGTCAGTAGATTAAAGCAAAATTACGTTGTCTAACCAGTTGGAAGAGTAGATGGAAACACGTCCATCATATATTAAAATCAGATGTTATCAGTTTATAACGGTTAGTCAAAAAAAAGAATATAATTTAAAAAATAATAAGACTCGAGTAGCAGTAGTTCACATAACAAACTTTAAAAATGGATCCGGCCACAGAATAAAATTATACAAAAGAAATGCATACATAAATGGAACCGTGTCAAGTTTATAAAATTGTATATTACAAAAGATATAGATCCTTCTAATTCGAGTTTGAATTAAAACATTGACAATAAGATATACTAACGAATAAGTCACATGGTCATAGAAAGCATTGTTAATTAGAAAAGTACTTGGACTAACTCGTTATCGTTACCGTTACTTAAAAAGTAACGAAAATGATATTACAAGTAACGCGTCACTTCCCAACCCTGTATATAAATAAATACTGTTATGACGACGGACGTACAATAAATTACTATATATAATTATATATATAATTAATATAATTATATAAAAAGATTTTAGAAATTACAAAACACAGGTGAGTTCGCGCATGTTACAGTAAAAAATATCCTAATTATATACTTTTATTATTAATTATATATAATTATTCTCAAGGTTTTAATAAATAAAACTATATAATAATAAGAATAATTTTTAATAAATAAATTCATAATTCATTCATTTTTAATAAATAAAAATTAATGATTTTGTTAAGATATTGTCAATTCAGAATATATAAATTTACTAGTAAATGCATACAACTACCAATTTTTTTGTTTTTGCTGTAACATATACATATATTATAAATCGCTTCATAAGCGGCTTATATATGCATATTGATTATTTGTGCTTTAAATTCCTTCTCAGACAACATATGCCATCGATAGCCCAATATTCTGGACACTTCTCGCTCCGTGTTCTCGTAGCTATGGCTATTTACCTTAATCCATCGATAATACTCGGGTGATCTATCCAGAATTTTCGACCAAGCCCTGTCACATCTCTTCAGAACTACGTTTCGTCGAACATACAAACAGCGTAAGCATTTTGCGGTAGAGACAATCTCTAAAATCGTAGCAGTCGATATTTTATCTCGGATCATCTGTGAAAGAAGTATTTGTCACTATATTGTAAATCAATAGAAATTTGTAGACAAAAATGGAGTAATTCTTTTTTAACAATTAGTTATTGTTATATTAGAGACATTCAGGAGAAGCTAGATAATCGATGATTTATAACATTAATCTTGAATATAAAATTTTTTTATATCTAAATAAATCTCAAAAGTTAAGGACTTAATTTATTCGAGTTCTGAGTGATATTTAATATAGCTATTCGATTAACTATACCTAACCGCAGAAAGAAGAGAGAGATCTTTACATTTCAGAATTATTACAAATAAGAAGAGGAAGCTTAAGAGACTAAAACATTCAACAATTTAAATATTTAGCACGCGCAGCATTGGGATAAGTAAGCCTATAGAATAGTTAGGAGGAACTTACACTCACACAATAGCAAGAAAGACTTTCATAATGTGTAAAGGTACGAACGCATGCCAGCACATCGTAAAGTCGCGTTGTTAACATCATGTTTTAGAAAAGCTATCACAAGCTTTTTGATTCAAATACAAAATGCTACCAGTGTATGCAGATTCGGGCACATTCGGCAGAATTGCACTAACGCCTCGTCCAATCTCTTAGCGAAGCTCCTGTGTAGATAGTATCTCGTAACTCCCTTAAAAGCGTACACCCGTATCGTCGAGTCGAAAAACGCTCCGTGAGTGAGTACCATGGATGGCGAAAGCTGCAGAACATTATTAGCATGAAGTAAAAGTCCTGTACTTGTCTCTGATATAAAATCGCATATTATCATCTCTCACTAACCTGTGTATTTGGATTATCCAATACTATACTGTGACACGGTATAGCACTATGTTCCAGTAAATCTATAGGTAAAAGGATATCCGAGGCTTTATGACTCTCTATTTCAAAGTGAACTTTTAAATAAGGATTGCTCTTTTTCATCTTGATCCAAGATGATCTCTTTGGCTGAAATAAAAATCCGAATAAATATTTATCGATACAAAAGGATTAGTATAGATATTAGAGATTATAATTACCAATCTTATGGTAGTGTCCTTTGGACTGTATCGATTTTGCAGAATATGAAGGTGCCTCAGTTTTGTGTATCCTATTAATTCTATTATATCTTCATGCAAATTTTGGGGACTAATGACTAAGACCTAAAAGAATTTTTAATTAAATATCAGAAACTTATATATCAACTAATTTTATCAATCTATCTATTACACACTTGATGTACTCACGTTTAAGTTAATAAATACTCCTACATGTAATAATGGACAATTGTAACGCGTGGTGTTTATCAATATCAATTTCGACAATGTCTGAGTGCAATTTGTACAGATGTCGTCCATTAAGTGCAACGCTTCGTTGCTGTCGAGCATCAGATCTATCAGCTCCAAACATCTAAGATTCTGTAGGTTTCTCATCAGTCTCTTGAGAGCTTCCAATAGTTTTCCACCAGTGCCAAAGACTCTAATTCGATCGGGATCGTCCCTGTTTGCCATGTTACAGGGAAAGGTAAACTTTAACCTACGAATGTAGGTACCCACGCCAGCCACAGACGTGTTGTCCGATCCTTGTCGTTCGGCGTACCATGATATCATGTTCATGAATTCGTAAAGGTTGTAGAAATTCAACATGGGCTCGAATACGAGGGTGCGAAAGTTCCTTCCAACTTTGTTCAGGCAAGTGGATGTTCTTATGTGATCCAGGACGTACTGCCAGCCGCTGTAGTAGTTGAACTTCCCTCGCGTGAGGGTAGTGTCCTCCAAGGTAAACGTGGACCATACGTTCTGTAATTTGAAGGCACGATACCACGATCGGCAGACCAGAGACGCATAGTAACGCTCGCGAATGGTCAGGTACGAGAATATCTCCTCCAGCAGAATGTCAGGTGTCTGATCCCAGGAACTATACTTCTTGTACAACTTATCCTCCTCCGTGTCCTCCTCCTCCAGATCTATATACAAGGCTTGGCAGATAAGATTTGCTTTATTCCTTTAATCCAGAGTTAAACTTCAATCTACAGTGCTATGTGTTTTCTCTCCTTGTATCGACGTCCTATTTTTATATATGTCTACCTTGAATGCGAATTATTTTTAGACGATATTAACATCGATTCCAATTATAAATTAATCTTTCATGTTTTTCAACGATCCTTTGTCGTCTCGCTAAGGAAAAAAGACTGTTCGCCGGTATCCTCTACATAACGTTACACACATATCTGGGTGTTAGTTACATCAAGAAGAAATTATGCAGAATTATGCAGAGGAAAAAGTTGCGTGTTACACACGACGACATGAGAGTATGATTGTCTCTTTAATCGATATGAAAAACATTATGGGAGTAATTTGTAATAAAGATCTCGTATCCAAAGCGTAAAATTGTGTGGAAGATCAAGGGGCATCCGGCTTTTCCGGGTCGCAAGATCGCGAAACGGAATGCGCGGAATATCGATTGTTTTCATGGATTTTTCTCTCGAGAGCTGGAGAGGGGAGGGAGAAAGAGCCAGAGAGAGAGAGAGAGAGAGAAAGAGAGAGCATCACGCGCTCACCTTTGTCCTCTTCGTCGAATTTCCAGCAGCCCTTGCTCATTTTCGATTCGATTGCTGCTCATCGGTGTTACATTGAAATAACGTTTCTTCTCGACGGAGTATTTATACGCGATATTGCTAAAAATATACCGAAAAAACGGGAAGGGGCGTCCACTGCGATCGAGCGCGCATCGCCATGATGCGATGTTTAAATCGCCGTGTCTCAATGGATTTGCGGATCGTCGTTTCTCGCTCGCACATTGACAATTTTACGGAAACGTCGCCGCGTGAGTAGAGAGTGCCCGACTTGTTTCGGTAAAGTCATCCAAAGATCAACAGAAACACGATCGGTGGAAATTGATCATAAAACGGATTTTTTCTCGCGCCGCCATGGCGTCAGAGAGAGGAAGGGAGATGGAACGGGAAAGAAAGAGAGAGAAAGAGACAGAAGGAAACAGCAGGGAAATCGGAGCGCACATCCTAACCTATCCTAACCTATAATGATTTTGTTGAATGGTTCGTCACGCAATCCAACGCAATCGTAAAAAGTCAAACTAACCTGAATCTCTGTCCGCTGCTGCTAATCTGGACTTCGCGACGCGGTGAACTTGCCTCGGAATAATACAATGAACTTGATCGGCAAATTATGTCAATTGAGGCCAACGTTACGAGGTTACAGGTGCGTGACTTACGAAACATATGGAACACCGGGTATTTGATGGATTGTTATAAAAAAAGATAAAAGATTATTTTTTTAACGCTTGTGTAACTTTCTTTAAGTATTGATGTTATTTAAGAGAATTTTTTACGAATTCGATTACTTATACTACGCTAAATTAGTGCATACTGCAGGAAGCTGCTGTACATGAAATTAAGAAAATTAAATGTATAGGTATATAGATATTTTAAATAATTGACTACTTAATTGTCATGTTACTTAAGAAATATGAATGTATTATTGACAGAATATAAATATAGAATATTGTTTCAAAATTGATCAAATTATGCTATACCATTTAAATGTTTTATATAATTAACTTTTTATGTACTAATCTAGTATAATACTAATCTAGTGTAGTTATTGATTGATTATATGAATTTTTGATGATTATTATTAAGAGAATTTTAAAGTGATTATTAAAACTGATTTGCATCAATAATTTTTCACTTTTATTCTAATTTTACTGAAGCTATTGTTTATAAAATCTTAAAATCTCATCAAATATATTTGATATTTGCAGGAATTTATACCTTACACATGTTAAAAATGCATACGAAGGACCTGGTAAAACCACCGTAACATTCATCAGTAAGGAGATAGGCTCTCGAATCTATGTAAATCGTTGTGATCAGGTAATCTCAGTAATTTATCTATAATAATGATTTATTAATGCTTAGTATACATAATTGGATCATTTAGATCATCCTGTATATTTCTTTTTTTTTTGAAATATTAGGAACGTATATTAGAAGCTAAATGGTCTTTCCTTTCTTTTAAATACACAACTTCCTAATAAATGAGAATGGATTGAAATGAATTCAGATTTTCAGAAATATTAATTCACGAATATTAAAATGAATGCTTTTCAATCTTGAATGCATTTTTATTCATTTATTGCACGGAGCATATCTCTCAATCTGCCTTTCAATCTAAAAATAATTTTCTGTGCATTGTGAATATGTTCAATTTAAAATTTTGAATAGGAAATGCAGTTTTTCAATCCAATTGCATCCAATTGAATCCAATTGAATCCAAAAAAAGTATTCGCTATTTATATATAAAATATGGATAGAAAAAAATTTTAATTCATTTTAATCCACTCTCGTTTGCTGGGCAATAAACCATTATACTTTAAGTCTTAAATCGTAAGAAATTGACCATAGTCAGATGTGAGAAAAATAATCGATTATAATTAGTCAATTTCTTATAGTTTAAGACTTAAAGCTTAGATAAAGCTTGTAGAAAGTCCATAATCCAGAATGATCGTGTATAGTAAAGGAAAATCGTCATGTAAAAGATTCATCAATATTTTATATTGAGGCAAAGTACATTAACTCCAGATTATGATTTTTTATTTTTCAGATGGGATTCACGTTGAGTACCGGTACAAAAGTGTTGGGGCCAACAGTGCTTTTTCCCAGACATGCTATCTGCTGGAACATTCAATCTGGCAAGCACATAAACGAGGCGTCGCTTTCATTATTCACTGTCCTCGAGCCAAAGCCTGATCTCTTGATCATTGGATTGGATGATCAATATGATTTTGCTTATATGAAAAATCTTCGAGAATGTGTACACAAGCTTGGTATCAATACGGAAATAATTTCTGTATATAATGCATGTACGGTGTTCAACTTCGTCAATGAGGAGGGCAGATTCGTCGTTGCAGCATTGATACCGCAAAAAGCACCTAAACGACTATTGAAGCTACCAGAGAGTAAACCCGCGAAACAAATAACGGACTCTGGTAGTGCTGAAAACAGCAAAACGGACAATGCAAAAACAGAAAGTACAAGAAATAGATAGAACGTATAGAGGTACATATATGACAATTAGCGAGAAGACTGTATTATATTGTATAATAAAATAACTTCTGTAAATTATGTATAAGATTACATAACCATTTTGTTCTAAATTGCTCAAAATAAAACGTTAAATATTTTAAGAAAAAGAAAATAAAAGGTACAATTAAAAGTGTTAATATCATCAAAGAAAATCAATAAATTGCTTAAATTAAATAAAACTACACACTTTATAGGTATACTCCGATGAATTAAAACGATGTTGGGATGAGGCTTAATCGTTGCGTAATAAAACAATTTTACGCAATCGCGAAATTCGAACTTTGAATAAAAGTCATTAGTTTTTAAATATCAAGAATATTCCAAAATCTAATAATAAAGATAGCCCCATAAATTTCATCGTCTCGACATTTGACATTTTGTTAAAGGTTTCTTCGCAATATTCCAAATTGAGATCTCGGCGAAGTAAAATCAGAAAGAGAATTTTATAGTAATCAGTCTATTCTGCACTCCTTTCTACGAATTTTCGTACATTTTTGTTGATCTGAAAAATTACCAAGATAGATAATATCTTCAAGTTCAATGTTTAAAAAAAAATGCTATATGCTCGAATTCCCAGATTTTCTGAAGAAACACACGATCATATAAATTGTCGATCACGTGACATGAATTTTGAAAAACGGTGTCTCATATTATTTTTATATAGCATCGATATATCCAGTTGTGTAGTCTTATTGTGTACCGATCGGAAAATTAATTCTTCGATGAATTAAACAAGGCAAATTTTTTCTTATTTTGACTACTTCTTTTTACTACTTCTCGTCCCACGGGGCGAAATGAGTTTTTTCTGTTTAGAAAGATCACGTTATGAATAATAAACGATGCCTTTGACGGATAAGAGTATATTCAACTTGATTTATTTTCACACCAGAAATGTACAAGAGACGGGTCGTAAAAGCTCTGAGACTGAATGGATTATTATAAAACAAAGAGTTTGGAAGAAATTTGTGACTTGCCACTTTCAGAGCTTCTCGTAGCTTTCGGGTAATGGATAATTCGTATAAATACAATTTCTTCCGTCGTGGCTCTTGATCTATATGTTACAGGATCCTTTGTGAACAATACGCACGTATTTCTCCAAGCGAACGGTCACGAAAAATTTTAAAAGGATGACGAGGATGAGAAACAGTTGAGAATTAAAGGACTTATTATTTCGTCCAAATGCAGACAGGTGGTTTTAACAAATGTATTGAACGCAACTCTACAAAACAATTCTCTCGATTCTTTACTGGACTAGATGCTTTATCGTAATATTGTAGTTCGACAGGGATTACTTCTGAGCAGGGATTCATACCGAAATTACATTTCAGATTAAAATTTCGGCCTGGTTAAGATTATGATCAAAGGCTATACCAACTTTCGATTTCATTTCTTTTAGTGATGATGATCGTTACAGATCATCAATTCACATAATAATAATAACAATAATATTAATAATAATAAAAAGGAATAATATTAATATTATAAGTTAGGTATATAATTATCAAAAACCAAAACCGAGAAAAGAATCAAAATCCAAATGATCCCGGTAATTATTACGATAAAACTGGAACTAAAAATTGGATTTAGCCTTTGGATCAAAATTTTTCGGTCCGAGTTCCTGCAGTCTTGAGGGAGACGAGCCAGGCACGTATCTGTTTCAGAATTTTGTTTTATTATAATTCACTCAGCTCTGCAACTTTTTTGAGACACATCTTATCAAATTTCAGCATGTCCGGTATTGCACTTACGAGAAAATCGTGTATCGCGTCCGTACTTAATCGTTAACGCAGTTTTTTTTCCGCCGTTTGATGATGCATGATGTGTGTGTGTGTGTGTGTGTGTGTGTGTGACTTTACGATACGTCCGCCGTAAATCGCAACGCAAAGTGCAATAAACGAAAGAAATTTTGAGTAGAAAATCTCTATGACGCACTTAGACAAATATATTTTTTTTTCGCCCTTTCCTTCTTTTTCTTTTTGCTTAATTAAGGCACCGGTGTACCTAACTTATTGATAGCTTGAAGAAATCGCATTGCTTCTTACAGTCGCATGACAGAATCCCTGTGTAACAGTCTTGTGAAATACTTTGAAGAACGGCAAACGTCTTATCTTGAATCTTGTTTATGCATTTATGTCTTTTTATGTCTGCGTATCTTCTCACGTGTTCTCAAGTGTAATTTTCGCATCTGTCTTTTTAGCGTCTCTTCTTTTTCGTTTCCCTCGACAGAATTTAGGATTAACTCTATGTTTCGATTGAACACGGCGTGTGATAGATTAAAAAAAAGATATAAACCAATTTCTCGCAAGTAACATCAATTAACGCGTAAAAGAAGCGACTTGTATCTTTGAATACTCAAAAATGAGAAGTCAGGAGCCATATTGACGCCTATTTTATTATTGTGTAAAAATAATGCAGTACTCGTATCGCAGCATGCGTATCCCGCGGTATATTCGTTATTCCACATCTATGTAATTTATATTTCACAATTAACAATTCATTCCGCGTACAGTGCAATTACAAAACCAATCACGTTGTTGCTCTTGCCATGATAATTTAGCATTGATTCTATTTTTTTCCTAATGGTCTCTTAATCTCTTTATCGTTAGTACAACGATAATAATGATAGTGACGATGGTTGTGATGATGATGATGATGATGATGATTATGATGGAGTGATGATGGCAATAACAATAATGAAAGTAATGGAGGGGAAAGAGAATAGAAGCAGAGAACAGAGAGTACTAATAATTCACATAGTAATACTAATAACAATAATATTAATAATAATAAAAAGGAATAATATTAATATTATACAAGAGTTATAATATTAATATTATAATATAATAATTATAATACGACGATTGATGTCGATAACGATGATGACGGTAAGAAGAATGGCTATTTGTCGCTCGGGGTTGCACTTGTACGATCAGCGAGATAGCGGCTATATTAATGGGAATGATGATGACAAGAAGAATGGTTGCGGTGTAGTGCGCCAGCGTAAATAGAAATGAAGAGCACAATCAGAAATTGCAATAGAAATCGTTAATTTTAAGATCAATCTCGATCGAGTGATTCCTCGACCAGCTTGGCTGTTTTTAATCATCTGAAGATTCTCCTCACAATTCTTTTCTCAAGGACAGGAGGAAGGAGGAGAGGAGAGGAAGGAACAAAGGATAATAATAGAATAAGATGATAAAATCACTAATCGATAATAACATAAGGCATTATGTTGAGGATCTCGCCCTGGTAACTGGGCCTCGCTAGCATCTGATGCCACTCCCGAAATTCCACATTGTCAGTTTGGTTGTTATGCACACTTTTTACACTATCCATGTTCGACAATCTTGACGACACACCGTTCCCTCCGTCCCTGGCGTTCGAGCGCTCGTCACCATCGGAACACGCAGTCGCCATCGACAGTCTTGGCTGGAAGTTCCCGTTAAGTCCTTCAATACACTGCATGTGTAACCTCTCGAGATCCTCGGCGGTAGCATCCCGCGGTGGCGGAAAACATTCGGCGTCGTCCCGTTCTTCTTCTTCGCCCCAGTCTATCGAGCTGGGATCTAAGGGCGGTAACTTGGCCAATATTTCCTCGACTGTGAGGTCCCGTTGCAACGGTGATCGACACGTTAATGTCTCGATGGTTCCTGATATCCTATCGTCTTCACGCAGCCTGTCCTGACACGACTCAGGCGAGGACGACTCGCGACAATTCTCCGCGGCTCTCAATCGAGCCGCTTTTTGCGTTTTGCCAGTGGACGTCTCCGAGGGCAGACCACTTCTGTGAAGACTCTGGGAGTTCTTCTGGCTTGAGCAGCGCAGATGCTTGAACACCTGCTCATTGTTACCTCGCAGAACATCTTCCGTGCTCGGCGGTTCCGCGACGCTTTGACTAGGTAGGGCATTGGCGCTGCCGATAGGGCTACAATTACTTCCGCGCGCCTGCAAATCGGCTAGTAACTCTTGCGTGGTCTTCAGTTTTGGATTCCTCGAGATACTGGCCAACTTCTCTTTCACGCTGTCCTCCAGAAACGATTGTCGCTTCGCGGACTTACTGCCCTTTTTACGGCCGCGCTTCTTTGGGCCCGACTCGTCGTTCGTAGTCTCGAGAGAGGTCTCCGCGAAACAATCGGAGATTCGTTCTTTCAGTGTAGGGCTAGGCACTTGCGAATTTAAATTACCACTTATGTTCTCGCCGTTGAGCCGTTGCTTCTTGACTTCTTCTATCGTCGACTCAGTTCCAAGCGGCGATTGATAGTATTGACATTGGTCCTTGCTACTCTCCTCTTTCCGTAGTCGTTTATTAGAACTGTGTGTACGCGGCACTGCTTCCGTTACATGATTCTGATTCGAGGTACCGAGTACTGGGGACGCATTCCTCGAGCAGGAACTTATCCTGTGATTGCTGGTCAGAGTAATTGACTGCTTGTTGTTCGAAGACGCGTTAGGAGATCGTGAATGGTCGCTATGCACTGATAGTGCCGGACTGAGAACCTGTAATCATATACTCTCGATGTTTAATATAGTCGGTGGAGTTTTATTTCAATATACAAATCCGTGATATATATATATATAAATGCTGGTCCGTTCGAATCTATTTGACTGAAATGTAAATTATTTTACAGTTTGGAATGTAAGAAATTCGGGTTCGACTCTGGTCAAAGTAATATTTTTCGCAATAAGTTTATTACAGTTTTTTAAGATTAAATTTAAGGGGATTATATTAATGTTTCAGATGGATTGCGTTTAAAGTTCGACAGTAACGGCGCGCAATCATATTTCTGAAATAAATTCATTTAAATAAGAGTACATACATTAGTATTAGTTCAACATTTAACTTTGACCGTCAAGTGACATTTTTCGTATTTAGATAAATTACTTTCTTGCAAATATTTTATTTACAAACTTTTTCTCTGGTATTTGATGATTTCGTCTGTAATGTAAGATAATTTTTCTGTGAAATTTTTTATTTTTTAACAAAGAATACTTGTTATGAATTCTCGAAATTAAAATAATATATCAGGTAAATGAGAGTATTAGTGCACAAACATTACATAAATATGTAGATAAAATTATATTTGACTTGCTTTACAAATTCGTATTTATTTTCTTATTTTTTTATATTTTATGTAATTATATTTTTATTTTTCAAAAACTTAATTATATTGTTTGAAACTATATGATTGTATAGTAAATTTGAACAGACCAGCAGGATTAAACATTTTATAAGAAAGATTTTGTCTCTATCATTTTCCTAATAATCAATTTCTTGTAAAAATTCGGACTTACTCTGAGAGGAGTGGCATCTTTTAAAGATAAAGGACTGTGAGGCTTAAGCTCTCGCAACGCAGGACTCTGTGGCTTCAAATTCCTCAGGGCCATCTCTTTCGCGCCGTTGAGAGCCAGGGTAGGCTGACTCGACGTAGAGTGTACCGTCGGTAAAACCATGTCTCGCCAGCGGCGTACCAGATCTTTCGCACGCTTGGCCAAGGCTTCATTACTCGTTTTTCGACGAAGTTCATTGATGTGTTTTCCAAGTCTCGTAATCTATCAAAAGTGATTATGTTAGAACATTATCTTTATTCCTTGTTCCTGGTTCTTTTGGTATCCCACCAATTATTAGAAATTTTCTGTTGAGTATAAATCAATTTGATGGTTAAAATAACAGTAAAGTAATAACAATAAAATAATAGTTACTAATAGCTAAGTATGCATGTACACACATTAACTGATTCAAATTGATGTATCTCATTTTGAATGAAGGTTGAATGTTTCACTTATTTCATTATAAGAAATTATAACCTATTAATGTAAATAATATCAATAAGCTATAACTGTATTTAGCAAAAATATTGTATATAAATAGTATTTTTATTAGACATTAAACTCTTATTAAACCTACAATTGTATCAGTAATTGCATAAATAATTTGCAAAGCTTACTTTTGTATAAAATAAATTATACAACATACACAATTACAGATGCAATGATTAATTACATTAACCAACTAAAATAAAATAATATCAAAATAATAACTTTTTTAGTTTCTATTGTAATTCAGTTATAATATATATTTAGGTTTGCACTTAACTTTTATATTTATTGAACACTACAAAGCAGAAGAACACAATATATAGAATGAAAGAAGACAAGTCACTCATTAATAAATTATATATATATATACACATCATAAAATTGTCAATAATCTATTTAGTCATTACCTCCAACGCTTCTTTAGTGACTGTCGTCTTTTCCAATGTCGAAATGACATCGACAACAGCTCGTATATCGACGACCTGAAATAAAGACGGATAATTTTTAACATATGTTTATTTAATTGTAAGCATTAGAAACTTATAATCAGACTTCATTTCACGAGTTATGGGACTTTTGAAGGAAAGATCCTAAAAAACAAGTTCTACACGTACATGTACACATACGTATTCAAATAAAACACTACATATGTAATCTACATATAAATATATATATATATACATGTATGTGTGTGTGTATATGCACCATACATCACACACATACACATAATATACGCACACGCAACACACACACACGCGCGCGCGCGCGCACACACGCACACACGCATGCAACGTATCATCGCAAAGAACGTATTCAAAATTATGACCAATAATTACAAGAGCCTTGCTAAAAAATTCGACTTGAATTGAATCAAATTGAATTTCGATTAAACTTCTTCGATTTGATTTCTAATCGTAGGAATTGCTTCGAATTGCCGAACGATGTCAAAATCTGTAATGGCATTTTATGCCGAACAAAATTCCTCAGAGCGAATGGCTTCGAGAATCATCGGAACGCATTTTTGCAAAAATGCGCGAAAATATTTATGCATATTTACATACGACATCCTTGAACAATTTTATCGGATCCGTGAACAGCATGGCTGTCTCCATGCAGAAATAAGTCAAAATTACCGTTTGGCAGAAATTTCTCAAACCGTATTTCGAAATCGAAGTGCCAATCGTTCGTTTCTCTCAACGAAAACGTGTAGAATTTTGAGTAATCGAATTACAGACAAGTCCATAGACAGGACGATCAAGGAACACATCGTCGAAGGAGAATAGCAGCGTTCATATGATCGGACGGACCTTCCTCGCAAATTTACGCTACTATGGTGTAACGAGAGAAGGAAAACGCCGAGCGAGAATATGCACGAGAAAGGCAGCATTGTAGCATTACATCGAATAGTCACATCGGCTTGCGCCAAAGTGCATCATCCTGATTGAGGTTATGTATCCAGGTAGTCGAGAATGGTGGAGAACGCGCTCACCCGCACGTCGTTACGTTACGTTACTCCCGACTCGTCCTTTTTCCCTCCCGCCTGTTCTCTCTCTCTCTCTCTCTCTCTCTCTTATTTTTCGTCCTCCTCGCACAAACACTACACAGCGACAGGCGAGCGCGTGCGAGTGTGCGTGCGTGCGAGCAAACGAGCGAGCGAACGAACGAGGGTCCGGAGGGAGCCGAGGGCCGAGGGAACGAGCGAAGAGGCCATACGTAGTGCGCGGCAGTGCGCGGACCGCCGTTCGCCATCGTTCGTCGCATCTCCGTGGACTTGGTGAGGCGGAGAGAGGAACAGTGCGGTTCATCTCGCGGCGCGACGCGGCACGGCGCGACGGCGACGACGGCCGTGGCCGCGGCGACACTCATACACTCGCGGGGGCCGTCGCGGCCGCCACGCTTACGGGGACACATACACACGCATACGTACACGCGCGGCACATATACGCGCGCCATACACATACACGCTGTCACTCTAGCGGGCACTCTCGCGCACGTCACTGGTACAGGCAGCAACACGGCGCACGGGGGATCGAGAGTGGGCCGATAGCCGTTTGCGCGTACGGACACACGGAGACGGCGCGGTGCATCTCGCCGCGACACACCACACTCCGCCTTTACTTACATTGTATTCCTTGTCAAGGGATTTCAACAATTTTTCAGTCAGCTCGCTGCAAATTCTCTGCATCGGGGTATCGCGCATGGGGTCCCACCACCGGGGGGATGTATTATATTAGGATTAGCGGAAAAATAGAGTCCAGGCTCCACGCGTAATATCAGAGAATCGGTCAGAGATGCGCGAGACACGAGGGAGACTCGCAATGGCGACTACCGAACTGTGCGCTCCACCGTCGTTCGCATGCCCTCCCTGCCTCCCGAGTGCCTCCTAGTCGCTGCCCATGCATCGTCCCTACCCCCACCCGCCGTCGTGCCGAAGCGCCACTAGCGACGCGAGTGGCCATCCGAAGTTACCCGAGTCCGCCCGAGCGCCCCTTTTCCTTCACCTCTCCTCGCCTATGTTAGTCGCCCGCCTTGCCCCGCTCGTCCCGCCGATCCTACGCTCCTGTCATCTCCCTCCCTCTTCCCCCTCTCCGTTGCCACTTTCGGCCGTGTTCGCCCGTCAGTTCGCACTCGGTGCCACTCCGTGCGCTTGGCGCTGCTCGACGGTTCGACGCAACGGCGCACCAACGGGTGGATTGCTTGGTCGTGGCGTTATCATAGACCACCGACGAATTCGAATAAATTGCACCGAGAATTTTTAAGCTCGTCACGCATCGCGTCACTCATCGTATTTAGCGTCAAATGTGACTGCGACCCGATCATACATGCGCCCGTCGAAATTATTTTTATATCGAATTACGGAAAGGGATTTTTTAGACGTTAAATTCGATATACCGAGATATATCGTGCGTAAATTCAGTTGTACGTATGCCCACCGTATCTCCTGCGTGTTTTTAAAACGTCAAGGGTAGTGATGACTCATCGTATCCGATGTCAATAAGAAACTTAATCTTCCTCGAAATCGCGGTCCACCAGCGTTCACGCCGATGAACCGACCAATATACGGGGTAAGGCGTTCGAAATTGCCAGCCTGATTACGTCGATATTTCCCTGTCCGGAAGGAACGGACCGAATGTAGAAAAATCCCATCGTTTCCCACGCGTTCATATCCTGTAATCGATGTAACTCTTGTTTCCAAACGGAATTTTTCCCATGGAACTGTACAATTTGCATAAATCGATTTTTCCAAGCATTCCAAGCGTACAGAAATGCCAAAGTAAAACGAAGGATTAAGTGCTTATCAAAACATTTCGTATTTTATTCTGAAGTGAAACTCGCTTTCTCGGTCATCATCTTTGATATTGCTTCTTGATACTTTTATATGTGCAAATGTCGTTTTGGAATAGCTTATATGTAGAATAAAATCATGTTGGTACCGTAATGCATTTGGCCCTCGTAGCAACTTTTACATGACCCATTTTTCTCGATAGATAATATTGGCGTAATCAAGGTGATAATTTCAAGCATCTCACCCTATATCCGAGGTTCTTCCTCTCCCATCTCCGTAACCATCTATTACGATGAAACTACATCGGGGTCATACATAGGCGTAGAAGTGTGGCTGCTGGACAGTGTAAAAAATGGTAGATAGAAATCGACCGAATGAGATTCAGTTTAAATTCCTAGTTCTGTCTGTTATATCATCATTTCGATAGAAATTCTATCGTTCCTCGATAGACAAAAGGGATTGTCGAATTAATGTCTAGGTAAATAGGTAACTGTATCGCCATATCGCGTTGCTCGGAGAACGGAAATCCCCCGAATAACAGGAATGAGATAAAACGTGTAACTGTGGAAGTGTGGTGTTCGACAGGAGAGAGAGAGAGAGAGAGAGAGAGAGAGAGAGTGATGAGAGGGGGTGGAGAGGGAGAGGAATTAAATAAGAGGGGAGAGGAAGATAGAAAGAGGTCATGTGCATCATGGCATAATAGAAATTACAGAAGCGAGCGGTAAATTCGCGAGAGTCATTAAGATTTTAATAATAATCGACTATGCACGTGATGTAGTGAATTTGAATGCTTGTGCAAAATTCTCATTACAATTCATTGCAGCTCTGGATTTTTTATTTTAAATCGTCACGAGACCCGATTCGTGTGCTTTGTAGATATGTGATGCGGCGCGTTCGGAAACCAATCGAGTAACGTCTGTCGTAATCTTTTATGATCTTTTATTCGTAGACTCAGAGAACATCCGGTAGATGGCGATAGATGAACGATGCGTTCCGAAAACGACTGCCCATTTCCACCAACGTAGATTAATCTTGGTTCAACTTACTCTTTGTCTTTTTCTAATTTCAAAAATTAGAAAAAGACGAAGAGTAAGTTAAACCGAGATTAAAGTTAATTTACATTGATGGAAATGAGCATTATTGAAGACTTCCAATCGCAATCTTAGCTCTGTCGGCAAAAATGGATACATTTACTACAATCGCTCATTGAGCGCTCAGTGAGCTCTTGCATCTGATTGGCATATTCCGTTAGATCTAAAAATATTAACCAAACGGATACAAGAGCTCACTGAACGTTCAGTGAGCGATCATAATACTGAATGCACTCAATAAGTTTTTTGATGAATTCAGGCTGATATTCATAGTCCATCTTCATTTTAAAACCGTCTTAAGTAATGTTTTAAACTGATTTTATAACAGCATTGTTCGTTTTATCTCTTGGGAGCTGCTCAGGATCGCTTCGAATGTACTTGAAATAAGATTTACACTATGTACATTCGTCATATATTGGGTCATCTAAAAAGTATCCGCGGTACTTTGTCACTAGATATATGACCATCAACACACATCTAATGACAAAAAACCGCGGATACTTTTTAGATGATCCAATAATATCCGACATTCATCGTAACAATGATTGTCAGATGTCGTATGAGGTCGGAATTAAACTATACTCATTGAAGAATGAAATTGAAGATTGGAAGACTGAAATTCGACTAATCAGAACAAAAGAAGCCAAAACTTTTTTGTCCTCATTGGTGAAATTTCAATCTTTAATTTTTAATCTCAATCTTCAATGCATAGTCTGATTCCGGTCTTAAGACTATTGTAGAATATTAACAGAAAAACAGCAGCCAATCAGAATTCGCGTTGATAGTCGACAATTTCGATTTTTTATGGCTTCCAAAATTCACTGTCAGAAAATAGTTGAAAATAGTTTACGTCACATGTATTATACATTTTTAGCACTGGCAGTGAATTTTAGAACACAATCTATACTGCTTATTACCAGCGCGAGTTCTGATTGGCTGCTGCTTTCTGTTTTTCTATCAAGGTTTGGTCTCATCTTAAAAATTAACGATAATCAAGTAGCGATTTTGATCATGTGACCTGTTTTACTGCATTAACCCGTAAATCCTTCCTTGATCAACAAAGGAAAAACTCAATATAAAAAGGCACCTTTATGAAGATGAAGGAAGCATTGCGCAAAATAAGGTGAAGGTGAACAGATTTCAACCAATCAGATGCGACTGACATTGAAAGATCATGTTGATCAAGGTGGAATTACCATTATTCCATAAAATTCATTTGTAATAGAATTACCATTTACCATTATTTATTATTCGAGAAAACAGAATAACGTAATGAAACTGATTTTCTTTAGCTGTTATGTATTGACATTCGAACAAATGTTTGAATAATATTGAGTCATCTAAAAAGTATCCGCGGTTTTTTGTCACTAGATGTGTGTTGATGGTCATATATCTAGTGACAAAGTACCGCGGATACTTTTTAGATGACTCAATATTTATCCAGCTGTTTTTTTCGCCGCTTGCGTCTAATTGCTTTATGCCCATTTTCACCAATGTAGATTAATTTTAATCTTCAATTTACTTTTCCTCTTTTTCTTTAGAACTAAAGAAAGACGAAGAGTAAGTTGAACCCAAATTAAAATTAAATTACATTGGTGGAAACGGGCATTAATCTCCACTATTTTACCTACTGCGCACATCTTTCGGAACGCTTCTCCTTTCTAACCTATCATGAATGTGTATGTACAATATATATGTCATTATTCAATGTACTAAGTGGACTTTAAACAGCGATTTCATTCTGCTTCATCATTATAGAGGTTTTCTCTTTTATAAGACGTAAAAGTTGATTTAAGCGTTACATGTGCGGTTTACAAATAGTTTTGAACATTTTACAGTGAATATTTTTCGCAGAAAAATGCAGGAACTACGATTCGATGGTCGAGTGGTCGTGGTAACGGGAGCAGGTGCAGGTGAATATTCCTTTTCCTCTTCTATTTAAAAAAAATTTTATTTAAAAAATTTTATCACATTTCTTTATCACACTTTTTATCACGCCATTTCGAATAGCGTTATATACAAAACAGAAACAATTCATCTGATTTCATTTTATGATAATACTGAAAGTGACAGTTTTTCTCACCGATTTGATTCAAACTTTATAATATTGTGTATTTTACGTAGAAAACGAATATGAAATTAAAAATCGTCACTCTCAGGTAAAACGTTGCTGCCAGTAATAAACAATATCATTATATATTTTTTTTTATCACAATGCACTTTAAAATCTAATTTTTCCATGTTCTTTTTAATTAGAACTTTTTAATATGATAGGCGGGGAAAGAGACTTCTTTCCTTTCTCCTTCTCCCTTATATTTATTGTTACAACTTGTGGATGTGATAGGTTTCTTAGTTATATATACATGTCATGTTTTAACACTTTATAACTTTTTGTTTGCTTTAGAGATGATTTTTTTCCTTTCGTATTCGTTTTCTACATACCAAAATACATAATATTACCAAGTTTGAGCTAAATTGATGAGGAAGATCGTTTTTATCAAATATAATTTTTAATTATTTTATAGTTAATACTGTTTATCAACTTTAAACCAGAAGGATTCAATAGAATTTTTATAACATAATAAGAATAAAGTTCTATTTATACAAGGTTTATACAAGGTTATTTTTTATGAAAAATCAGTAAAAATATATATAAATATTTTTTATTTGTTACATTTTGACTATAATTGAAAGTAATTTGTGTCTACTTGAATAATATATATCAATTATTATCATATTGAAAATAATATTCTTATATGTAATGTATTAATAATTTCCAGGATTGGGACGTACCTATGCATTGCTGTTCGCATCCAGAGGTGCCAGCGTAGTTGTAAATGATTTAGGAAGCAACAGACATGGAGATGGAAGCAGCACCAAGAGTGCGGATGCTGTGGTTGAGGAAATTCAACGAAATGGTTAATATTTTAATGTGACATTTTTTATGTCATTTTTTTTAACTTATCAAAATTTCTGATCTAGGCTTATATAACTTTTTTTTAGAGCAGAAATGTCAAAGGTCAAAATTTTTTATGTATTTATTCATAATGAGTCACTTTAAGTGATATGCTGAAATACCTTAAAAAATACAAAAAAATATAGAAAAATGTTTTACACAAAAATTGTTCAGCTTTTATTAGGTAGAAGAAAATGCTGA